TCCACATAGTGGATGTGACTTATCTATATGCATTCTTCTGAAAGCTTTCATTTCAAATTTTTTCTTTAAGTAATTTACAACTTTTGAAAACTCATCAGGAGTTTTAATACTATCATTATAAATAGTACTGATAACAGACTCATTTTGAATCTTTTTACAAACAGACAAGTTAGAATAAGTTTACATCATTCCTTCAGTTGATATTAACCACGTATGTCTCATATAGAGACTTACTTCAATAGTGTTCTTGAGAACATAATTATGTTTATAGAAACTTAAATCCTTTAAGGATTTTCATACATTATGATCCATATCTATTCATCTATTGGATCGTTTATATTTATACAAGGATTTGAATTCTTATGGGATTCACATATAATTTCACTATATAGCGAATTACTATATTTTCTAGACACATATGAGATATTTTCATATATTATCAAACTGTCAGATTGATAAGATACATAAAAATTTTAATTCACCACAAGATTGTATTTCTCTTTTTTTGTACAAATGCCCATTACACTTCAGGTACTTGGATTAGAGATACACAAATCTCCTGTTATAATGTTGCGTCTTTTCTTTTCTGTTGGCCAACCATTTTTCTATCTATATCTCATAACAAATTTATATATAAGATCCTCATTTGATCATGTGATATTATCAATCAAATTATTGTCGACAATTTTATTCCTTTATCGGTCTCATTTTCTTTTATAACATAATCTATCGAGATCTCTTTATTACTTTCAAACACCTAAACCTCTTCAGGGGTCAAAGAGTTATGTCTTAACATCTTTTGCAATTCATGTTTCCTTAGTATGATCATCATGATCATTTGCTTCTTTTTCTTTTCTTTTGGAACCAATCATAATCTCATGCTTTTAGTATGTTTTTAAGAATATGAGCATTTTTAGCTGGAATATAAGAATTAAGAATTCTCATTTGAGTTAGTAATTGCAACTGGCAGACATTAGTAATGTTTTACAAAAGCAATACTTTATGAATTTCTAGTTCATATTACTATATTTGAGGATCTACATTTGATAATGAAAATACATTTTATGTGTTTTCTTTTCCAACTACATATTTTCTCTCTCTCATATTGGGAACATGTAACATATGTCTCCCAAATCCATATATCTCCTTTAAAAACATTATTTTGTTTCATTTAGAGATAAATAAGAATAAGGAGATTTTTATCTAACAGTGATCCAAACTTACTTTTAATATCTATCTATATGCATTATTGCGGCAGAATAATAGATATTGTACATTCTATGATGAAAAATGCCTGGTTCTTGACCAAAAACCAATTATAATGGGAGAATTCACAATATATTATTGGCTTGATGCATTTATGTGTAAAAATATATAAAATCAATCATCCCAATACTCAAATGGGAATTATGTTCTCATAAACTCTGATCTAGCTATTTATGGAGGCTTTTACTAAGCATATAATCATCAGCAACGAGAGGAACAATCATTAGCAATCTGAATGAGAATCATATTGATTTCATAATCAAGAACTTATGTACTTCATGTAATTATCTAAACATATTTGCAAATTTCATGTTACAAGTTGATCATAAACACCTGTGACCATTTTATAGATGTATCTTTCACTTATAAAGTATTACTTTGGTTTACATGGTGTCTAAATGGGCCCATATATAAAGTTGATGCATTATAAATATGTACGGATCCGATTTGAGCATAGCTAGTGATGTTTTCTTATTTAGTTCTTTTAAGAACAAACAACACATAAAAATTCTTGAATCATATATCATTTTTAAAGAATCTTCCGGTTCTTTAATAAATGATAATGCACATTTTTCATGATATTTTGCATCATTATGATCTGGGATGATATGACCGGTCATGTCAAACTATGAATGCATAAACTTCTAGTTTATTGTAAAATTATTCTCAATTATTGGTAAACTTCTTGTTACCATGTTATATTATTTATTTTTCTCCTTCATATTTTATAAGGAATATGTTATCAATTATGGATTTTATCTCCAGGATAATAAATCATAATATAGCTCTTCTAGAATGTTATTTTTCATCTTTTACACAATGGTAGAAACTTGTGCACTCATAAAAGGTTGAGCGCTACTGACTCTTCTGGAGTTTTTTTCAAAAAGAATATGAGATATAATGAATGACATTAATATTAATAATAACAAATTCCATCCAACATAATTTACACTTGTATTTCAATAATCCCCCCTTAAGTGTGAGTCATATAAATATATTTTTCTTATTTCTATATTTCAAATACAATGAATAGCATATAGTAAGCTAATAACATATTTTTAATTTGGAAATCCAAATACTTTTTGATTCATATATGATAATGGATTTCAATCAAATTGAGTTATCACCTTAAGACCTTTTGATAAACAAATACCCTAATATATATAGTTGTTCAAGAATTAATATATATTGTTTCTTTTCACTATATGATATAGTTTACTCCTTGTTATGCTTTTTCAAAGTATGAAGTATGTATTTTTTTTTTCAAAACATAAAATTCTCTGGAAATTTTGTTATTCAAAAACTTCATGTAATGCTTCAAAACTTTTTCATAAATTTATAAATTCAACAAAAATTTGAAAAGATCTATAAGGATTAAAATCAAACTGTATAGTTATGAAAATTTAAATCATAAGCTTTCAAAGCTATTTATAAGTCATTAGTCTTCAAGACTCTATATAGTAAATATATATTTTAAAAATTATTTGTATCCCTTGATATTTGAACCATAAGCCTTCGGGGCTTTGAAAACATCATAAGTTATTGGTTTCATGTCATACAATAACATGAGTATAATAGCTGCTGGTTATTTAGTAATAGGAAATTATAATATTAATAAATATCAAATTGAATGTCAAGAATATATGAGAATAAGATAAGAATAAAACTTGAATTTCAAATTAATTAAATGTAACATGAAATAAAGAGAAAAGATAAACTCTTTTACCAACACATTCTTCACTATGTAGTCATTAGTTTTTTGGACTACATTATTTATAATTCTAATTGTCATAATTTTTCTTTTATAAACAAATCATAGAATGAGTCAAAACTATATGGTTTTAGGCCATTTAATAAAGAAAATAAAGATATATGGCATCTAGCTCTTTAATTTTAGAATTAAAAAAATAGAGATATATGGTTTCTGACCATAAGATAAAAATTTGATGTTATATAGCTTTTAGCCGATTAATAAAATAATAAAAAATTAAATATTTATGACTTCTAGCCATAAGATAGAATATCAAATTATATGGATGTGAGCCATTTAAAAAGACATAGAAAAATTATATATATATGGCTTCTGGCCATAAAATAAGAAATTCAATATGATATATATAAATAAAGATAAATTAAATATATATATGGCTTTTGGCCATAAAATAGAAAATACAAGTTATATGGCTTCTAGCCTTTTAATGAGATAAAAAAATTCAAATATATATGGCTTTTGATAATAAGATAGAAAATCAAAGTTCCATGACAACTAGCCATTTAATAAGATAAAAAAATTAAATATATATATGACTTCTGGTCATAAAATAGAAAATTGAAATTATATGGCTTCTAGCCATTTAATAAGATAACAATAATCAAATATATATGGTTTCTAGTCATAAGATGGAAAATTTATACCTAAATACTTCTAGTTATTTAATAAGGTAAAATATCAAATATATATAGCTTCAGGCCATTTAAAAAAATAAAGAATTAACCATATATATATGGCTTCTAGCCATAAGATAAAAACTCAAAGTTGTATAGTTTCTGGCTATAATATAGAAAATTAAAATCATATGGCTTTTAGCCATTTAATTTGAAAAGAATGGAAAATCAGAGTTATATGGCTTTTGGCTATTTAATCTCAATGAGATGAAAACTTAGAATTATATAGCTTTTGGCCATTTAACCTTAAATGGTAACTCTTTAAGGATACTGCTGGTATCCATTGGAACTTCGAGTTCTATCAAAATAATGACGTTAGGTCAATAAGGAATATAGGGGGAGAAAAAAAATCATCTTATCATAATTAGTTCGGAAGATATAATATCTATATCAAAATTAAATTATAGCACTAAAAAGTAAAGCAAAATCTCTAATCATGGCCATGGAACTCGATGTTTAAAATAACGGTAGATAATCCTTTTAATTCCATATAATGGCTCAGATTATCCTAGATAAATTGAATAGGAATACGGATACTTTGAAACACCATATATATGATGGTCGATGTATTTTTATTTGAATAGAACAAATGATACTCTAAAAAAATAATAAAGATGATGCTCTAACATTATGATGGGGTAGAAAAGTATATCATACGCACCTTAAAGATGATGCTCTAACATTATGATGGGATAGAAAAGTATATCATACGCACCTTGGTTCGAGCTTCGTGCTGATAATGTGTTATAAATAAAGAAGAAATATGGAGAAGAATCATACAGAAAAAGAGATAATCAACAAGAGAGATTACTTCTTATTCTATTCAAGTGTGTTCAATACATTATATATGATCTCTATTTATAGGTACAGTTTTACACCTTTGATAGAATCTACAGATTACATAATAATATGAGATAATTGTGGGATAAAGAGATAATATGAGGTATTAGAGATTATAGGAGATATAAGAAATAATAGGAGATATATAGACATCCACAGCGATATTATTATATTTATAACAATTTTGATTTTTGTTCCTAATATTTTATAATTTATATTTAAAATCTAGTCCTAACAGTAATTTTGTGAATTAAAAAAAACCGATTATAATTTCATAATTCTTAGGGTATTTATTTGTGATTGTTTCAAAATATGACATGTGAAAATGAAAAATAAAAATTGCAATTGAAATTACCGGACAGTATGTTCAGATCCTTGGAGTGGAAAGTGGAAACCAGGGGAAAAAACAGTCGTCAAAAAAACCAAAAAAGCGCCAACCGCGTGCGAAACTGTGTCTGCAGAAGAAGGAAAACCTCCGCTCAAAATTTCGCATTTTTCGTGTTTTATTGCTTCGAAAGCGATTGTACTTAAGGTTTGAATTCTCTCATCTCGCCTTCTTTTTTAAATCTTCTGAAATGTTCTATTTTTTTGTGATTAATTGATCGAGTAACGAATAGTTTTACGTTGTGTTGTTTCGCAGGTCGGGAATCCAATGGACAAGTGTTCTTTGCCCTTAAAAAACGTAGAAAGTAAGACCCATGATAATAAGAAGAGGGTGTTATCTGGGAAGGAAGCATTGGTGAAGCTTTTAAGATGGCATTTTGGTTATCCTGATTTTAGGGGCAAGCAATTGGAGGCTATTCAAGCTGTACATTCGGGTAAGTTGCTTCTTAAACTTTGGATTCATGCAGCTGTACTCGGTTGATTCATGCAGCTATACTCGGTTTTGTTGCTTTGTAAACGTAGCAAATGAAAGAGTCTGAGAACAAAAGCATTTCGAAAGGCTGGCCTAGTATGTTATTCTAACTTATTTATACAATGATTGGGAGAAGAGAAGTGAAGAGTGGCTCATTACATGGAATGGAAATGAACATGATGAAAAAAGTGATTTTGATGATGCAAAATAATTGTCATATTCCAACTTCAAACAAATAGAATAAATACTGCGTAGTAATGATGACAAGAATATTCGGCCAAAAAAAAAATGATGACAAGGATATAATAAACATTCCACAAAGAAAGTGGGAGATGAATCCATCTCCCTTGTACCAAATGAGGCTGCCTAAGTTTTTTTTTTTTTTTTTGGAGCTACTTAAGTTGTAAGTTGAAATGGATTTTTGTTCCCTCTCTTTCTAATTTTGGGTAAGATATAGCAATTATTGTTTTTGGGTGCAGGAAGAGATTGTTTTTGCCTTATGCCTACAGGAGGGGGGAAGTCGTTATGTTATCAGATCCCTGCATTGGCTAAAACAGGAATAGTTCTTGTTGTTTGTCCATTAATAGGTGAATAATGTTCTTCTTTTCTGAAGTTTACATGATTGGCTGAGCTAAATGCTGCATGATAATTTGATTGGTTATTTGTGATAGAAGACCCGCTGTTGATTCTCGCTTTTGATCTTCTTTTTAACTGACAGCTTTGATGGTGAGTATATATTATCTATCTCTATTCTCTAATGTGTGTTTGTTTTATGCATTGAGTTTTTGAGCTGCGAATTGAGTTTTGGCTCATTGATTCTTTCTTTAAGTTAGGAAAACCAAGTGATGTCATTAAAAGAGAAAGGAATTGCTGCAGAATTTCTCTCCTCAACCCAAACAGCCGATGCAAAAAATAAGGTGGATTGTCAGGATGTTAATATTTCACTGCATATAATCTACTTGTTATACATCAGTATGACCTTTGATATGAATGATATTAATCTATACTCTCTCAGAATTTTGGATTTTTGTATTAGAAATTTGAATAAATTCAACTTCATATGGAGTAAAATAATTGGATCGCTCAATTCAAGCTTCTTCATGAAACTGCTAAACTTTCTGGGATGCCACATCTTTGATGTTGCTGACCTTTGTTCATGATGAGAACTTATTTTTCGTTTAATATTTGTTGGAGTGGAAGTTACTTTCTGTACATAAACGCACTTATTTTTTTCCTTAGAAAATAAATAATGTTTGGGTCTTGGTATCTGCAAGGAAAGGGCAATGATCATTCCCTGCCATATTTATTTGTAGTAATTTAATCAATTTTTCACATATTCCTTATTGTTATGTTAAAATTCAGAGGTGACTTTCTGTTATCTCTTTTGAAGATTTATGAGGACCTTGATTCTGCAAAGCCTTCTATAAGGCTGCTGTATGTCACTCCAGAATTGATAGCGACGCTGGGTTTTATGTCAAAGCTGAAAAAGATATATGCTAAAGGGTTGTTGAATCTCATTGCCATAGATGAGGTGTGAGCTTGGAAGATCATTTGTGTTATTACGCTGGAATTTTATATATTACCAAGTGATTTCTCTTCCAAAATTTTCAGGCACATTGCATCTCAACTTGGGGCCATGATTTCAGGTTTGTCATATAATATGGCGCGTTTGAATTAGAAAATTTCTGGTAGACTTGTATTAGAATAGTGTTATGGCTAAGTTAAATTATGTGTGAGTCAACTACTAGTGGACTGGGCCTATACTAGCCGTATCTGTACTATCTTTGTACTTGATATTATTTTATCATATTATAGATAGAAATGAAGGAGCTTGACAGTATAAGTCAGTGGTCCTGTTTCCACTTCTCTTTCCTCACTCACTGAATAAATTAAAAAAAAAAATCATCATATAAATTGAATAGGGCTCAATATTTCTACATAGGCAAAAATTTTTTTTGACAATTAGATCCCTATTGTCATGAGGCCCATGCCTGATTAGATTTACCTCACCCTCTTCCTTTTCATTCACGTGTAAGTTTGCACACTTTTCATTCACTATTCCTGCATATTGGAATTAGTTACGGCAACTGATTGTTCAAAGAGGTGAACTTCGATGAGGATTAGGGTGGAACCGCCTGATCTTGGTTTGATCCCTACCTAAGGTAGCGTTTTTAATTTTTCACAAATTGGTGAGGTTCATTTCTTGGGTTGAGAGGAAAAGACATATTTAAGACTTCAGAACTAGATTTTCTTTGATGGATGCCTTATTGTGCAGCCCAATTTGTAGAGCGGGGTAGTTTGAAGACTTCTAAAAGCTGTTGGTTTAGACAATGTGCCCAGGACAAATAATATGGGAGAATGATATGAGGCCACTCATAGAAAGTAGGTTGAAGAATTCTGAGAATTATAGTTCATCTACAGGGGATGTTGTGAAAGGATATCCTAATTTTTGCGAACATATTGAATCCCAATTGAGTATTGAGTATAAGTGTGTAACCTTAATAATTGTGGTGAAATGTCTAGGTGCCCTAGTCTACAGATGGGAAACCTGCCTGATTAAGGGTTTGAGTAGGATTATTGTGAATCCTACCTTTTAGAATTCCTAATGGATTAGAACTCCTAATACATTAAGAGGTTATCATTGTTCGGACTCCTAGTATTTATTATTGTATAATCTTGTAGAAGTATAATTTATCATTGCCTTTAGGAGTTTATCTATCAGTCAATCTCTATTGTTGGAGTGCTATGCATATGTGAAAGGGTGATACAAAATTAGGAAGGATTTATTTAATGTTTTAGTAGTTTACATTTAACTTCATAGCTTCATGTAACTACTCAGGAACTCCTATTTCTATATCTTACTTTCTAGTCATTTCAAAACTAAGAAAATGATAAGTAATTTTTGAATTTTAAATAGTTACTGGATGGCTTTAATACACTATTTCCATAATTTTTTATTTTGTAAATGAAAATAACGGCTAGTTCCAAAAGTTTGGTGACAACCAGAAACTAGGACATATTACTTTTTTCGCTAAAAGATATGTAAGTTGAAGATGGCATGAGGCTAAACTTCTCCAACTGCATGTGCATGTTTGTGTTTGTGTGGATTAGATGCTGTGTTAAGTTATTTATTCTCATGCTAGATAAATCTTTTGTCTACTGGAGAACAGGCCTAGCTATCGTAAGCTTTCAACCTTGAGAGACCAACTTTTGGATGTGCCAATGTTAGCTCTGACTGCTACAGCTGCTCCTAAGTGAGTTTTCTTGATGCACCTTTTCAAATGAAACTTATTATATATATATATATATATATATATATGTTGACAGTATATTTGACAGGATTAAATGTAACAAGCCATTGTTAGAAAATAAAGCAATTTGATGCTGTTTCTTTATTGAACTGACAACAACATTTGAAAAAAAGTTTCTTGATTCTTCATTTTTATTTCTGAAGTTTTATATCTGTAAATATGGGTTAAGTATCTCTTGAAAAGCAAAATGAGGGCAAAAGAACATGTTTAAGATAATCAATGATGAATGGATTTGCATAGTGAAGAGTTCAAAAGTTCCGCAAATAGTCTTGTATAAGGCAGGGTTTTTGCCGGATGCAATCCAGAGCTTGTATCTCAACTAAGTATTTTCATGTCTGAGTTACAACAAAGCTATTATAAGCTTTCAGTTCAATAATAACTGCGGATGAGGTGCATGTTTTGATGAACATCATAAAAAAATTGAAAACGATGAACTAAGCACAAAGTTTGTCATTAATCGCTAGATATGAACCTGTGCTTTAGACAAAGTTCAAATAATTTTATTCTCTGTCTTGTAATTTGGAGTTCTTTTGTGAAGTGTTTTTCTTTTTCTCTTATTGACATATTGTGTTCCCATTAATGTTAAAATATCATTCTAGAGTTGCATCATTCTATTTTAATTGCTGTATTGCTTCCTGTATAAGTTAATTTCTTCTTGAAGGTCTTGTGTTGTAATCTTTTCTTAGGTTGTTTAAATCTTTTCAAAATACCTTGAAAATTGTAAGGTTCTAATTTGCTAGACTTTTCTGCAACTTCAACAATCACTATATTTCTAATATGATCACAAAGTTGTTCATTTGGGACCTTTGGTACCATTATATCATAACTGGATCATAAAATTATTATACACTAGTAGGGGCACAAATCTCTTCATTCACACAGAATTCGTTTCACTTTTCATGTAATCCTGTATGGCTAGCAATCATGACCTTTCTGGCTCCTATCTTGGGTAGAGAATGCTCACATTATGGAATTAATTCTTTTTTTATTTTTTCTTTTCACTTTTCCCTGCAGGGTACAGAAGGATGTGGTAAAATCACTGAACATGCAAAATCCGTTAATACTAAAGTCATCTTTTAATCGTCCTAATATATACTATGAAGGTTTGTGCTGCCTGCTTTGTGTGTGCTTCTAAATATTATTTCAATTGTATCTATCATATATGCCTTTTTTGGCATGCTTGTGACCATGAAACAATTCTCCACCGTGTCACATTGACAAACATAATAGATCAGTTCCCTACATGAATTTTGGCATGCTAAAAAGATGTCGGTATTTTGTTTCTTGCCAACATATCAGTATTTATTAATGTGCATGTATTTGAATAAACTCAATAATGATGCAGTTCGATACAAAGATCTTTTGGAAGATGCTTATACTGATCTGTCCAATATGCTAAAATCTAAGGGAAATGTCTGTGCAATTGTTTACTGCCTTGAGCGTTCAACATGTGATGACCTGGCAGCTCATCTAATGCAAAATGGCATTTCCTGTGCTGGTAATGAAACCCCTTTTTCTTTTCTCCGCCTTTGCAAATGAGCTCACAACTACCAAATAATATGATATATATTTTCCTCCTTGCCTCGTCAGCCTATCATGCAGGGTTGAATAATAAATTGCGGACCTCTGTGTTGGATAATTGGATTTCTTCCAAGATACAAGTTGTTGTTGCCACTGTTGCTTTTGGGTTAGTTTTCCTTTTTCAAATTTGCACCAAGCTTGCTTTTGCATAGGACTTAATAATCCTAGTGGTCGGATATTGTGCCACATTTTTTAACGCAAAATTGGTGGAGGATGACATGCATTTGCGCACGCACTTGAATGCCCCCACAATTTGCTGCAAACCAATTGTCTTTAATGTGCTTTTTTTTTTTTTTGGTTGGCTAATAAAGATGAATGCATTCCATGGAAACGATGGACGGACTTTGATGAGTAATACAGCCATTTCTGTTGGTGCTGCACCATTTATATTCAACTTTCTTAATGCCCTTTTGCTTTGTTTTTTTCCTGCTTTTTGGCCATTTGTCAGCCAAATTACGTGATACTGTGTCAAACTGAACTGCTTGATTGTGAAAACGTGCCAAATGAATATCACAGACAATGTTCCATTAAAGATGCACCTGTTTCTAAATTTTTCATGAAGATCTGTACTTGTTAGTATGAATTTGTGATTTATTCATCTCGTTTTGTCCTGTCTTCTGCATGGAGCTGTACTATTGCAAACACAGTTACTGAGCTTTTGGTGTTCATTTAGAATGGTAAGCTGATTTACCGTAATTTGACTCTTGAACTTATATGTGAAAGATTGTTGCGAATACTTTTTAAGTTCATCTAATTTTCTAGTAATGCTTTGTTATACATCAGGGCATTGACAGAAAGGATGTCAGAATTGTGTGCCACTTTAATATTCCAAAGTCAATGGAAGCATTCTATCAGGAGTCAGGCAGGGCAGGTCGTGATCAGTTGCCATCTACAAGTTTGTTGTACTATGGAGTAGATGATCGCAAAAGAATGGTTGGCTGATTTATCCTGAAGTTGTCATCACCATTTGTATTCAAGTTGTCTGAGCAGTTGTTGCCAATAAAAAGAAAAAAGAAAATTGCCTGAGTGTTCATATTTGACATGATTTTTTAAATTATAATATATGGCAGGAATTTATATTGAGTAAATCCCGAAGCAATAAGTCACAGTCATCAAGCTCTCAGGAAGAATCATCCGAAAGGTCCCTAGCTGACTTTAGTCAGGTGACACCAAAATCCCCAAATACTTTTTGAATAACTCCATGTCATTTAGTTGTAGAAATTAAACTTGAACCATGCAGATGATTGAATACTGTGAAGGATCTGGATGCCGAAGGAAAAAGATTCTTGAGAGTTTTGGGGAGCAGGTAATAAAATTGATATGGTTATAGATAATATGGATGTATATGATCTTCATGCTGACTCAAGTTGAGCATTCTACTGCGTCTTTTCGAAGCAGGTCACTGCATCATTATGTGGAAAATCATGTGATGCCTGCAGACATCCAAACTTAATTGCTAGATGTTTGGAGGACGTAGCAACTGCCCGTTCTTTACACCCAAAAAATAATTCCTCTCGAGTCTTTATCACCAGGTGTTTATTGTATTTGTGCTTAAATCTTATTTTTCTTTGAATGGGGACAAAGTTGAAAAGCCAAAAAAATTTAAGTATAGATTCATAGACAGTCCGGCAGGTTTGTGTGACAAACTAATATGATGTTGGTAGTGATAGGCTGAATAGGTAGAGGATAATGTTTAAGTCCATTTAAAAGTAGAATGCCAGATTTGGTCGCACTGATTGGACTTTAAAGTAGTTTAATAACTTCATTTTGTCAATTGCTAATTGCTTGGTCAGACTTTTAATTAGTAGCTTTGAATTATGGCCACAGCATCTGAGTTTTTCTGGTCAATATCCTGCTAACACTATATGTTATTCAAGCTGGTTTAATGGGATCAATCAAGCTACCTGAGAGATGCATGTAATTTCCATTTTTCAGTTCAACAGGTGGAGTTGGCGAAGAACAAGTATCTGAATTCTGGAATCGTGATGAAGAAGCAAGTGGATCGGATGAAGATATATCTGATTCAGATGGTGGGTGTACTGGTTTCTTTTAAGGCTGCTTGGTTTTTCAATGGGCGCAAAAATGGGCACGGGGGCATGAGAGCAGTTTGCTGGTGTACCGTTTAAATTGATAAGTTTTGATTTGCAGATGGTGCTGAGATTGTCAACAACCTAACCGGATCAAAGTCCAAATCCAGATTGGGAGTGAATGAAAAAATCGCATTGTTACAACGTGCTGAAGAAAACCACTATCAAAATGAAAATGCTGATAAACAGGTTGATTTTTTTTATATCTTCTAGCTGGATAGTTGCAGTTCAAAAGTTGCGTCTTTTTCTTCTATGTCTCGACCCTTTTTGACCTGCCAATAATATGGCCACTTAATGTGTTGAACTTGTTATTTCACCAATCTAAACAACGGAAGACTGGATAGTTCATTTTTCATATCTGTATATTTATTTTCTTTGATCAGCACGATTAAAGTGATTGGTTACAGCATGTAACTACCTTGTCCTCGCTCCGCCACGGAATCATTCGTTCCTATTTTGATTCAGAGAAACAAGGTTGACAAGAATGCTATATCTGATACAATAAGAGGAGCAACCAGGGAAAGACTGCAAAATTCTCTAAAGCAGGCCCAGCAACGGCTCCAAAACTTGAAGTAAGATCAGTGCCCCTCTTTCTTGTTTGAGTTCTTTCTTCTTTCAATCCTACACTTTCCACCCCCACCCACTCGGAAAAAGAATGTACAAACAAACAAACGCACTTGCACGGTGATTCAAAAGGAGCTTGACACAAGAAGTCCGCAATTCATTTGACATTTAAAATGCTTGTTTAGGTTTACATTCCAGTTCACCATTAATGCGAATGCGTCTGTAGATTTCTCAGAGTGCCCTTTTTCCATTTTTTTTTTCCCCCAAGAATAGAAGCCACGATTAGTTTGAGATACAAGCTTTTCTCTGATCTTGGTTTTCCAGGATTGAAGTGGAATCCTCGGCATCTTTACTTGAAGATGAATGCTACAAGAAGTATGGGAAGGTTGGCAAATCATTCTATTATTCACAGGTGGCAAGTACTGTTAGGTGGCTGTCAACTACAAATTCAACCGATCTGATAAGTCGCCTTGGAGGGACTAACGCTTCCTCATCAACGATTGTATTGTCTGAAGCTGAAAATCCCCTTACAACGCCACCTTTGTCAGATCCTTCTGGGAAAGAAGGGGCTGGCAACGGGCCTCATGCCACTGCTTACTTAGAAACCTCCCCACTCGACTTACCGATCGAAAGTTCATCAATAGAGACAAAGTTGCCGCCAATTCCATCATTCTCAGAGTTTGTTAACAGTAGGAACGTAAAAAGTCACCAAACAAGAACCAAACAAGAGCACTCACCAAGAGTGGAGAAGAGGTCAAGGCATAAGTAGCTATTTGTGTTTGAAGGCACCTCCCCAGTTTCTTGCTGCAATATTTCTGTATAGCACCAGCTTTAATGTTTGTTGATGGAAGCCTTGTTAATTTTCTTGGGCTACTTTTTGTCTTTATTTAGTATTATTAGCTCAAATGATCCAAATACAATGTACATCAGTATGGATTCTGGCAGAAGCACAAGGTGGTGATGGTGGTCCCATTGAACTGTGCTTGCTTCATAGTAAGCTGAAAGGCTTTGGGATAGTTAATGAACTAATCATAGTATTAGCTCATGGCTAACTAGATTGATTGTAGTTTAACAGTGATAATAAAACAAATATTTTAAATTTCTATGTTGAAAATGCAATATAATCAATAATAAGAAAAGCACGCAGATTAAAGAAAATAGGATTGCAATCTGAAATAAAACACTAAAATAGCAAAAAAGAAATTCAGTTATGTTGAAAGGAGTAAATGGCATCTATGTTGTGAGTATATAAGTACTTGTTCTTTAAACGCAGAAGTATAATAAAATGGCTGTAGTTAAATACTTAATGAAAAACTTACAACTTTGGCATTAATGAAAATAAAAGAAAATTAATTTTTAATTTAAAATGCTCCAAAAAATAGAGAGAATAGACACAAGTTACAACTTCTAGATACTTCCATGTTCTATGGTTTTTAAACAAGAAACAGATAATACTTTTGGAAAACAGATAAAATCAAAATACTCGGAGAATCTTACGGTGGTCAAGTCCCCAAAGGATGCATTAGATGAACATGCCTCGTACAGAATCTAATGCATTTTCCAGTTCAAATCAAGAGATCACATATTTACAAGAAAACCAGACGCATAAAAATTTATCCTCATGTCTACCCTTTCAAGCGGGGTTTACAATTTAGAACAAATATAAAATTATACATTGTCGAATGCTAAATATAAAAAGTAGATAATTAATTTACAGAGATTAATAAAAAGTTAATTATTTAAAAAATAATATGTTATTTTTTCTAAAATATTATCTTGATAATTTGTATTGAAAACTAACTCATTGATAATTCTCTTTAATATGTGTAATAATAAGAACTAAGAAAATTAAAAGTTTGAAAGACAAACTAGATTGCAAGTTTAAAATAATTAACTCAAATTACTTTCACATTTTAAATAAGAGAGAGTATTATATACATAAATTGAATGCCAAAAAAAAAAATAGAGCAGGTACAATGGGTTGGGGCCGCAGGCCAACCACCAACCTGCTATTAGGAGGCGGGTTCGGACCGACATTTTGTTAACTCGCATCGTGTAATTCCTGGGTTGTGATGAGAACGGCAAACTTTTTTGCAAATAAGTTTTGTTGTTAAATATTAGGAATTTAAAGTATCAAAGTCTCACACTCTTGCACTTCTTGCCTTTCGATTTTCTGCTATGACTATTACTTGTCTCTCCATAAAGCGATTCACATTTTTTAATTAATGACCCAACTTCGCTATCAACATTAAACTTTGAAATTTTTATGGCTTTATCACGTAATATTGAACATCGGTTATGTTTGCAGTGTTTTGTACTGTATTCGTATTAATCCTTTTGGGTGATTGCATTTAAAATTTTAGAGAAATATAAATAATCAATTTTTTTTTAAAATCAGATTATGAGGTAAAAAAGGTTGGCGAGGTGATCAGCCAACCCGCCATGCTAGGTTAGGATTAACATTTTGCAAGCCAGTCAAGACGCAAGTTACTTCAACCCGCACAACATAACCCGCAGGTTAGCTAATATTCCAAAAGGTACTACCATGGCATTCAACAAAATATCAAGCGAAAAAATGAGACCAAACCAACTAGTGATTTGATTTGATTTTAGTGCTGAATTGGCCAAAAATTGAACGGGAATCAAACTAGAGGTGAATCGGTGTGAATCGATTTGAATGATTACATCGTTATTAATGTTATTTTTTCTTATTTAGCTCTTAATATGTTAGTCACTATAAGATTTGAATGAATCTTAATGATGATTTGATATCAATTATTATTAATTTGTTATGAATATTATAACATGTGGATGTCCATCTCCTCTTCTTCCTCTTCCTCTTCCTCTTCCTCTCAACTTCATCATCAACTCCCATTACTTCCACTAGGCATTAATCTTCCACTACTCCATTACTTTTTTACTATGTCTTTAATCTTGTAACTTCTCCTACTCATATTCATGTGGTTTATTGTCCACTATCTATCATTTAAGTACCAATGTAACTTATATGTAAAACTATGCCTATAAATAAGGCATGTCATTGTATTGTGAGGCAAATGAAGCAAGTGAAGGAATACAATATCATTCTCTCATTTTCTTGTCTACTTCTTATCTCCAATCTACTTTCATTGTTGGTTAATTTCATAACACGTTATCAGCACAAGACTCTACTATCTGAGTTCATGGCTTCTAGTTGATACACGTTGATGCTTTGTTCGTTGAATGAAGATAGTTTGATCCAAACAGTTTGGTAAGATTTCTCAAATTTATTTAGAGGAAATGATGGTTTTGCATCTTAACCGTATTAATTCATTGGCAACCGAATATTTTATTCGTCATATTGAGATATGAAAATTTTTATTTTTATTTCTTATTTTTCTTATATTTTTATGATCCTACTATCCTTATACTTCTTGATTTGCTATGAAATTTATGCTCATCTATAACATTATTATATATGATTATCATCTCCGACATTAGTTAATTGTTGTCTTAGAAAGTAAAATGTTAAATATATAAATGAATGGCTAATAGTCATTGTACTCTTGATTTTGTGATTAGATGGCCAGAAGCCACATCACGTTTTGATGATTATTTGATAAAAGACCATTTTGTGGTAGTAACAGATGTCATGACAAAATTGTCACAATTTGATAATCTATATCAAAGTCTTGAAGATTGATGGTTAAAAATGAAACGATACAAAAGAACTTCATAGTTCTAAAAATTTTGTTATAGTTTGGAAGACTAATATTTGAGAAAATTGATAGTGTGTCATTAAAAGCAAAGAATATATCTATAAGAGTGATAAAGAGTATGATCACATTGTATCAATGGAACTGATAACTAAAAGGGCAATAATCTTGAGGCTTGACTATTGAATCATAACAACAGAATTAGTAATAGCCCTATGATCAATATGATAAAATTATGAACAACTATTATAATATAACCAGAAGTCATATATACAAATATGTATCAATTCATTGAAAAGCAAATGTTAAAAAAAAATAGCTGTGAAATAAAAGGACCATGTGATATTATGAAAATATCAAAGGTGATTCTAATGCCTGAAGGCAATAAGTTGTGAAAAAAGATAGATGCCCAAAGCATATATAAAAATAGAAGATATATAAGTATATGCCTAGAAGGCTATATGTATAATGTTTAATTTTTATTGGTCTGTAAATTTATGGTGATTTGTAAGAAACAAATTGTTATAAGAATTTGATATTGTGATATTGATAAGGGTGTGATATAAAACTAAATAGATCAAATAGACCCAAAAGTTACTGTTTATTTATATCTTATTTATATGATCTGATTCAATATTAGTTTTGAATATTTTAAATGTTTATAGTACCTTGATCAATATTGAGAAGTTTTGAACGTTGAGTCTTATTTGTACTTTATTTTTAAAAGTTCATTTTAAATATTCTTCATTATTTTTGTGTGTCTTTTATGTGTATTGCAAGTTAAATCTGTGATACTCATAATTATTTGTTATTATGTTAATGATATATTGAAATAAAGTTATCTTCCATATTCCTCTTAAATTGTATAGTTCTTGAAGAACTAGATGCAATAGTATTAATATAGTTCTAGAAGAACTAATGCTATTTTTTTTTTAATGAGTAGACAAACTATATATGAATTATAAAGTACTTGGGCTTCCAAGCAAAAGATAGGTTATTGACCTTGACCCATCATATGCTCATAACTGTTTATGAAATATATGAATAAAGGAATCATGTTTGAATGACTCAATCTTGAGGGGAAAAACTGTTGGAATATAAGTATGAGTTGATATTGGATATATTTTTCATATCAATTTCATAAATGGATATCACCAATCATATATTATATTGAACAATTTATTGTTGGTAATGAAACATGGATCAGTAAAAAGTTTACTGATATGATTAGATTTATTGTTGGCATGATTTGTTTGATTATCTTAAACTATATAATTATTGAAGATTATGTATTAATATCCATTGAAGAATCAGAAAATTCTTCCGAATAGCCAATTTTTAAGAATTCGTATGTGCTGCTTGTTCTCGGAGAAAATTGATTATAAAATATTACTAGCTATGTTTTGTTTTCGAATGGATCACTACATTTCTGGAAATATATATGGGTCCATTTAGAAGCACATAAGCCATACAAGTATTCGATATTTGATAGATGCATCTATATAAAATGGTAAGATGTGTGATTGATATTAATTTGCAACCTGAAGTTTGCAAGATTATTTAGATAAATATTTCCAGACTATGTGATTCCTAAAACTTAATTTTAAAGATGCTAGTGAATTTATATATCAGGCTTTTAATGTTGAAAAGCTTGCTTAACAAATTGATCTAGCAAAATCATTTGTTAATGCCTCCGTGAATAGCTTGATCAATATTTATGAGAACAAATTTTTTTCATTTTAGTGTTAGCATATTTGATTTAATATATTGCAGCACTTATAGATATCAAGGCAACATAATTCTCCTAATAAAATTGGCTTTTGGTCAGGAGTCAGATATTTTTCATTTGAAAAATTGAAATGCGCAATATTTATTCTTACCAATTCATCATAATGCATATAGATATATATTAAAAGAAAGTTGGGACATATGTTGGGTAAGAACTTCCTTCTTGTTTGCTTCTCTAAATGGAACCAAACAATGTTTCTAAAAGAAGCAAATGGATTTAGGAGACTTATGCTGCATAATTAGTTGATTGTCATTCGACAAAGTTTTCCTAACATGAGGGGGAGAAATTGAGTAGCTGGAAAAGAGAATGCATGGAACGCATTATTACTATCAAATATAGATCCTCATATATATCAGTATGGACCAGAAGTTCATCAAAATTGCATTCATGAAATGTTACAAAATATTTTAATGACCTGAATGAAAATTTTTAAATCTCTTATTCCAGTTGAAAATGCTCCAATTATTTTAAATATTAAGACATGCCAGAAGCATGAGAGGTTAATCGGTTCCAATATATATCTTGAATAAAGAGGAGTATACAACTTAGAAGTTGTATTGAGGAGGCATGTACTCTAGAAGAGTGTCAAGACATAACTAATTGTAAAACCCCAGAAGAGGTTCAGGTACCTGAAAAGAAAGAAAGAGATCTCAACAAGTTATGTCACAAAAGAAAAAATGGAACTGAAAAGATAAAGTTATCGACAATGATTTTCATAAGAATATCACATGATAAAAAGAGGATCTTACGTATAGATCTATCATACAAAGTAGATATAAATTTGGCCAAAAAGAAAAGGAAAAGGGAAAAGACATGATGAAAATATTATTTTGATATGTGAAAATGGGCCCGTAGTCCCAACGCATATAAAATTTCTATAGAATACATAGACGTTTATGTGAAAATATAGATTTTCACATATAATTATGATGAGACATTGTTTTGTGGTGGATATAATTTTACATATTTGAATAGTTTGGCAGTTATGAAATGTACTTGTTAGATATTATTATGACCCATGGATGAGGATCATTAATAGTGAAATTTACATGATAATCCTTGAAGGATAAAAAATATGCCAGGAGCATATATAAGAAAATCTTTCAATATATAAAATATTATGAAGATTAAAATAATTTCAGTATGTATGATCCATTTTATAGTTTTGAATCAAAATATATGAAATTCCCTAAAGAATTTCACTTGCCACAAGCATACAATTTAAGTTCTTGAGAACAATGATTAAGTTAAATAAATTGCCAGAAGCAATCAAGGCGTATGTGGTATAACCGACTAAGTAAATATCAGTTGAAGAAATGATATAAAAATGATTCAATTTGCTCATGTATTTTTATGAAAAGATCTGAAAGTGAGTTTGCTATAATTGTTTATGTTGATGACATAAATATTATTGGAACTCTTGAAGAGCTTACAAAAACTATGGATTACTTAAAGAAAGAATTTGACATGAAGGACTTGGGAAAACAAAGTTTTGCTTCGGATTGGAAATTGAATACTTGATAAATGAAAATTTTTGTGTATCAATTAATTGATACAAGAAAAGCCTTAAAGTGTTTTTATATAGATAAATCATATCCATTATATACTTTGATGGTTGTGAGATTTGTGGAGGTGAATAAAGAACTTTTTAGATTTTGAGAATTTGATGAAAAACTATTTGGTCCAGAAGCACCAAATCATAGGTCCAGAAGTACCATATAATATCTCATCAGTCACTCATGACTTGACATATCATTTGTTGTTAACTCATTACTGAGATATAGTTCTTCATGAAAGACATTGGAATAGAATTCTAGATTCCTTTTTGATCCACATGTTGGTAATTCCAGATGAAGTATTTCATGATATTCAGAAGATGGTGAAATATATATCTAGCAAATCCGTTCCAATGAAAATCTGACAGATTTGTTCACCAAGTCACTTCCTTGTATGATATTTGAAAAGTTTGTTTATGATATCGGATGTCACAGACGCAAGGATATCAATTAATGTTATCAAGAGGGGGAATTAATACACGCTGTACTCTTTTTTCCTTGTCTATGGTTTTTTTCCCCACTGGGTTTTCCTAGCAAGGTTTTTAATGAGGCAACACCAAATAATCAATGAATGTGTACTCTTTTTCTTCTGCTAGGTTTTTGTCCCACAGGGTTTTTTCTAGTTGAAGTTTTTTAATGAGGCACATATCTTATATAATGAACATCCAAGGGGGAGTGTTATGAATATTATAACATGTGGATGTCCATCTCCTCTTCTTCCTCTTCCTCTTCCTCTCCTCTCATCATCAACTCTCATTACTTTCACTAGGCATTAATCTTCCAGTACTCCATTACCTTTCCACTATGCCTTTAATCTTGTAACTTTCCCTACTCATATTCATGTGGTTTATTGTCCACTATCTATCATTTAAGTACCAATGTAACTTATATGTAAAACTATGCCTATAAATAAGGCATGTCATTGTATTGTGAGGCAAGTGAAGTAAGTGAAGGAATACAATATCATTCTTCTTGTCTACTTCTCATCTCCAATCTACTTTCATTGTTGGTTAATTTCATAACATAATTTTAGTTATTTAAAAATTGTAAAGATCAAAATTCTTAATGTTGTTATATTTTATTATTACTACAATCAGACTATTATTATATTTTTTTTGGTATTTCGTTATTAGTTATTATTAGTGATATTGTTTTTAATTAAATTATATTATTTTAATACGACCAATTTGACTTTGAGTTCACCCAATCTGATCCACCTACCGCAACCAGTTTGTATTTTGTCTGCTTGCAAAATACTCTTCTAGTCTTAAATATAAGACTTTTACAGATCGGGGGAGTATATAAGATGAGTTTCAAGATCTTTTCTTATTCCTATTTTCGCCTCATCTATCGGTCATTGGTCTTGGATAAATTGTTGGCGTCAAGAGGAAATAGAATCGAAAGATGACGTTTCCTCCGCGAGTTGAAGGCATGCTGATCCAATGACCAAGAAATAGCGCTTCCGTCTAATCCAGAAACTTCATAAGAATTAAACCATTTTGGGGACCATTTAAGATTCTCATATTTTGTTTTCCGAGTTTGCCTGCATCTCTATCTCTCGTGAACATACACGGCGAGGGCCATCATTGGCTAAACTTTGCCTATTAAGGCCGTCTCTTGACTTACTCATAGCACTATTTTCACTCAAAGCTTGACCGTTTGTAGCCATTGATCTTTCTGTGCCCTATTTTCTGCTATTTCATTTTTTTTTCCAAATTCTTATGGTTTTACTTTCAACAGTTCTGCAGAAATCGATGGATTTCTAGAAACTTATAGAAAATTGTAGAGTTAAAAGGTTTTTTTAGTCAAATAATCAAATAGTTTTGGCTTTGAAGAAAAACCATCAAACTAGGTTGATGGAAAGCTAATACTATTTCTACTTTTAATATTATGAAAGCTAGTTAATTAATTTAGATAGATTAAAAAAATTAGTTAAATGTAATAAATATGAGTTGATTTTTTTTTAAATATCATTTTTCTATTTTTGGATGGAAACCGTTAATATGTGTAGTCAATAATAGTCCTTTATAGAGAATAAATTATAAATTTAGGAGATAAAATAGATTAAGATATTATAGTTATGATCAAATCTAATTTTTAACTTGTTTTTATATTAAAAACAGGAGATAATAATATCTCAGATCAATGGAAATGGAAGGGCCTAAGGGTGGTGTCTGCTCCATAGCATCCATTGGTTTTCACGGTAGTCAAGATTGCTTAGGTCACGATGAAATCATGAGAAGTTATGCTAACTGCACTGAAAGCTTATAATGGGAAAATTAGACATTGGTGGAATGGATCAAATGCTTGACTTCCAAAGCCACTCAAAGACTACCAATATGTGGCTTAGATTTAGTAAAATACTTTTCGGAGTTCTCAGTAAAAAAAAAAAAGAGTGAAATTCGTTGTTTATAAAAAGATAGTATATATATTGATTTTTTAGAAGTATCATTTTTAATAATTTGCATTAGAAACTATTTTTTTAATGAAAAATCCCTTTAATATATGCAGTCAATAAAGAGAATTTAAGAAAAAAATTATAATTTTTGGAGATAAAATGAATTTGATATCTTACATTTAGAATTAAAACAAATATTTTTGCTAGTTCTTACATGTGGGATAGGAGAAAATATAAAGCAGGTTGCTAAGTATAAAAGGATGATGTGCCTAACAGCACAAGGCAAAATCCATCTTCACCTTCCTCACCCACTTCTAAGAGGAGGCTCTTCGTTAAACATACGCAATGAGGTCTATCCCGAACTTATGGCTTTCTTTGGTATCCTTTTGCTTCATAACCTTGAGCATCAATATCCTTGTTGTGGCCAGCCAAAGCCTTAGCCATCAAAAATCTGCTTTGCTTTATCTAAGAAACAGCCTAGAATTCAACCCTTCCAAGTCCAAAAAATTGGTTCATTGGAACCACAGTCATGATTGCTGCAAATGGAATGGAGTAACATGTGACAAGGGACATGTTATAGCTCTTGATTTGAGTGAAGAATCAATCACTGGAGGGTTTGACAGTTCAAGTTCAAATAGCCTCATCAACTTGCAATTTTTGCAAAATTTGAACTTGGCTTATAATGAGTTTCATTCTGTAATTCCTTCAGAGTTGAACAGATTGAAGAACTTGAGGTATTTGAATCTATCAAATGCTGGCTTTAAGGGTCAGATTCCAATTGAGATATCTCACCTAACAAAGCTAGTTTCTCTTGATTTGTCTACCTCACTTCACACTCTAATACTTGAGAAGCCAAGTATAGCGATGTTTCTGCAGAATCTCACAGAAATCAAAGAACTACATCTTGATGGCGTAAAGATACCTGCTAAGGGGAAGGAGTGGGGCCAGGCAATATCTTCACTGAGAAATCTTCAAATTGTAAGTATGTCATCTTGTAATCTCTCTGGACCAGTTGATTCTTCACTTGAAAAGCTTCAGTCTCTTTTAGTGCTTGGACTAAATAATAATAACATGGAAAGCCCAGTGCCAGAGACCTTGGCGAGTTTGATCAACTTAACCACCTTGCAACTCAGAAGTTGCAATTTGCATGGAGTGTTTCCAAAACAGATCTTCCAAATGCCAAACTTGCAGGTCCTTGATATGTCAGATAATCAGGATCTCCAGGGTTCTTTACCAAATTTCCAACATCATGGATTTCTCCATACCATGAACCTTAGCCACACAAATTTCTCAGGTCAACTACCAAGTTCTATCCAAAATTTGAGGAGGCTGTCTATATTAGATTTATCAAGCTCAAAATTCCATGGAATACTTCCTTCCTCAATCTCTCAACTAACTTCACTTGTTCATCTAGACTTGTCGTTCAACTATTTCACTGGCTCACTTCCATCTTTCAATAGGTCCAAAAACCTCACATATTTGTCCCTCTACAACAATCACTTGGAGGGTGAAGTTCCATCTTCTCATTTCAAGGGCCTTGAAAATCTTGTCACTGTTGATTTAGGTGGTAATTTTCTCAATGGGAGAGTTCCATCATCTCTTCTTGCACAGCCATCATTGCATGAACTAATTCTCACTAACAACAAATTTGAGGGGCTTCTGGATGAATTTCCCAATGCTTCTTCCAGCCCATTAGAGATCCTTGATGTCATTGAGAATAATTTACAAGGGCCTATACCTATGTCTATCTTTCAGCTCAGAACACTCGGTTTGCTGCAACTTTCCTCAAACAAGTTCAATGGAACCATACATTTGGATATGATGAGACGCATGGAAAATTTGGCTATACTAGATCTTTCTCACAACAATTTGTCATTTGATGCAAGTTTGGTGGACCATAATCAGTCCGCATTCCCCAAATTAACCAATGTCATGTTGGCTTCTTGCAAGGTGAAGGAGTTTCCAAAATTTCTCATAAATATGTCCAATTTAATGTACCTTGACTTATCCAACAACCAAATTGAAGGAACCATACCCAATTGGATTTGGAGGTTTGATTTTATGTTTTTTCTGAACCTTTCCAACAATTTTCTGACAGATTTGGAGGGACCTTTCCAAAATATTAGTTCCAATTTGTTCCTTCTTGATCTTCATTCCAACCAACTCAAAGGTCCAGCTCCTATTTTTCCTAAAAAAGTGATCTATTTGGACTACTCAAGCAATAAATTTAGTTCTATTGCCCCACCAGACATTGGTAATCAACTCCCTTTCCTATACTTTCTTTCCCTTTCGAACAATAGTTTCCAAGGAAAAATCCATGAGTCCATTTGTAATGTTTCAAATCTTCGAGTGATTGATCTTTCCGATAACAAATTTGAAGACACTATTCCTGTATGCTTGATAAGAAAGAGCGGCACTCTTAGGATGTTAAATCTAGCTGGAAACCACCTTAAAGGCCCACTTTTTGATGCATTTTCAACTTCCTGTGCCCTTCAATTCCTAGACCTCAATGAAAATTTCTTAAGTGGCACAGTCCCAGTGTCTTTGGCTAATTGCCAGAAACTACAAGTCTTGAATCTTGGAAGGAATCAATTCACTGATAGATTTCCATGTTTCTTAGGGAACATTCCAACTTTAAGGGTCATAGTTCTAAGGTCAAACAGATTGCATGGGAGTCTTGAATGTCCAAATAGTATCAAGAAGTGGGAGGCACTTCAAATTGTTGATTTTTCCTCTAATGACTTAAGAGGTACTCTCCCTGTAGCACTCCTACGAAGTTGGAAAGCACTGATGGTGCCTGATGAAGAAAACAATGGATCGCAATTTGGCCAATTGCATTTTAACATCTTTGATGATAATAATCTTGTGGACTTCATGATTACACTATCCACTGTGAATAAGGATCTTGCACTGAAGCTAACCAAACTTCTTACATCAGAGCCACTTCTTTTTGTGCTCAGCCACTTGTTCTCTGAAGTTAGTGCTAATGATTTTGGTCATCGAAGTTACCTGGATTCAGTCACAATTGTCAACAAAGGAAGACAAATAAAGTTCACTAAGATTCTTATTGCCTTCACTTCTTTGGATTTCTCATCCAACCATTTTGAAGGGCCAATACCAGAAGAGCTTATGAGTTTCAGAAAACTTCATGCTCTTAACTTGTCACAGAATGCTTTTTCAGGTCATATCCCTTCATCTGTAGGGAATCTGAAGTATCTTGAGTCATTAGACTTGTCTCTTAACTCTTTCAATGGAAACATACCAACAGAGCTTGCAAGTCTATATTTCCTCGAATTTCTCAACCTCTCCTATAATCATCTGATTGGGCCAATCCCAATAGGTACTCAAATTCAATCATTCGAAGGAGATTCTTTCAAAGGTAATGAAGGCTTATGTGGACCTCCATTGACACATAATTGCAATTTGAATGGGGCTTCAGGATTGTCACCACCATCATACAAATCATCTGAATCATTAGATTCTGGGAGCTCTATTGATTGGAATTTCTTGAGTGCTGAATTGGGATTCACTTTTGGGTTTGGTATTATCATCCTTCCCCTTATGTTTTCTCAACGATGGAGGTTGCAATACTCAGAATATGCAGACTACATGCTTTGGAAGATCATTCCTCAGCTTGATTTTGTATATGAACATCGTGGGGGAAAAACTTACAGAAGTTTAAGGTGGAAGCCTTTTTGATTTCAGTCAAATAAAATTGAATGACCCCACAACTCTTTCTCTGCCCCTCCCCCCTTTTTTAAGTCTTTCTCTAATATCTGTAAGAGGTGGTGGATGATATCAATAAGAGAACTGAAACGAAACATGGTTTTGTGTTCAAGTTCCTATATAGACCCCTCTTCTTGTCAGAATTTTCCAGCTAGTCTTATTAAAATTGTTGGTATATCCTCTGACAATATTCTCTTTGAAAAGGTACAAATTGAAATTTGAAATAAAAAATGGTTATTCTTTATAAAAATTTTAACAAAGAGGTATGTGTTTTCATTTCCTCCTCTGTATTATTAAGATTTACACCATGGAACAGAATTGGTCAAAGCGTGGAAACTAAAGTGATTATGTTTGGATAGTATTGTCTTAGATACTTCTAACTTCTAATGCCATCAAACTCTTCTTTTCTTTGGCCTGCAATACCATTAGACTAAAGAAAAAACTATTACAGCTTTGTATGCTTTAAAGCTCATTTTTAAAGACCGCAGAGCTAGTATTTTGCACTAATGTTTGATGGATACAAGTCTTCAAGCCCCCTCTTCTGTAAGCCTTGCTTATAATACACACACACGCACGTTCCTTTTTGGTGCGAGTGAACAAAGATCCAAGAGAAGCAGAAGGAGAGAAGAATTTTTATTTCACTTGTTTAATATAGACAATAATCAAATTAAATTTTTAAAGAATTAACGCTTTTCTCAAATAAGGTTGGTCATGGTGGAATCTTCTCTCCTTTTTTTCTTTTCATTTCCCTAAAAAATCTCCATCTCAATAAAACACTAATGTTATCACCCTAACTGTATCATTTTTGCCTACATCAAATATTTTCTCAGGTTTCTGCCATTGCCCATGAAATATATAGAGAAGTTTACATGCTACCTCCGATCATTAGTATCACTTAGCTAATTTAGATACATTAAGAAAAGTAATTAAATTAGTTATTTATTAAAAAAACGTATTGACTTTTCTAAAATACATTCTTAAATTATTTGGATTAGAACTATTTTTTCATGCAAACTTTCTTAATATATGAAATCAATGGAGTTAGCTTAGATAAATGAGGAGGATAAAGGGATTGTTCTTGTAAATCTTACACAGAATGTTATTACTTCCACATTGGGAGCCTTATAAGTGTGGTGGGATCTACAAGTTCAAAGGATTCTTCTTCTTAATAGGCTAATCGTTTAGGATTGATCTCTTCTTTTTAGTTTATACTTATCATATTGGTACTTTCATTAAGAGCTAGCCAACTGAAGAGGGTTACCTGCAGGGGATTCTGAACAGAAGGGCTAATTAGTAGGAGACTAAATGAAGTGTCGTAGAGTAGAGTTGTTGAGGATGGCCAGGTCTCGAAAGGGGTGATTTTTATGATCCTGTATGAATCATTAAAAATGAAGAGTAAGAATTAAGATTATGATTGAAAAAATATATTAAAACAATATTACCTCCGGTTCTTAATATAAGAGTTAGTTGACTAATTTGAGTAGATTAAGAAAGTTTGTTAAGTTAGTTATTTGTAATAAATATGTATTGTCTTTCTTATAACACCCTTGTTAATAATGTATAATAGCTAAAACTACTATTTGATGAAATCTTTAAGAAATGCAACTATTGTAAGGATTACTTTGAAAAAAAAAATATATAAATATGAGAGACACGGTGAATATGGATCTTATATTTATAATCAAATTAAAAGTCAAACTACCTCTTATATTAAAAACTAGAGGTAATATTTAGTATGAGAGATTGTTTATTATATGGGATCAAACAAACCTATGTAAATGGAATTGGTGAATACTATGTCTAATCCCACCTCTGTGGGTTTGCCTAATCCCATATAATAAGTAATGACTCATGTTAAATACTAATTTATTAGTTTTTCTCAATCTTAATCACAATTCTCACCTCTCATGCTCAATGCTTCATACCAAAAAAAAACCTATAAATCTATGCTTGAGGAGCCTAAGTTTAAGGGGTCTTTCCTCTTAATAGACTGGACCTTTGGAATTGGTTTTTTCCTTTTGAAGTTAGTGCTCATCACACACAACCTAATCAAAAGTTAAAAAAAAAAAAAAAACCACCTCATAATTTTTCTTTATTTTTAACATTATATATGTATGTGTGTATACGAAGCCAAAATTTTTAACGTTGTATATTGGCTAACCCCAAAATAGCAAAGAACGGAACCAAAAATTTTTGACATCGCGTTAGAAGCAAGAGACGAACTGAAGAAATGACGGCGACGAACTCTGATTCTGAGGTGAGTGCTGTTGAAAGTTGCATCACATCAATTGTAATAGCTGATAGCGTCTTCTTCAGTCACTGCGCTGTGCTTCTTGTTGATTTAAGCTTTCAAGTTTGTTTTGTTGTTGTGCCTGTGAAAATTCAGTCCCAAAAGCCAAGTTTCGAAACATTTCGATTGTTCTCCTCCACAGATGGCGACAGCACCAGTTCTGGGTTCAGTTTTTTTGATGCTAGACAAGCACCTTCTATACCCCCACCTCCCTGTATTGAGGTGTTTGCCTCTGAGGTATTCTTTGCTGTTGCTATTTTCTCTTTACTTTTTTTTTTTTTTTGGGGTTTTGAATTTAGTCTCAATGGGAATTATTTATTTTGATTACTGTATCAATCTAAAACAGGCTTCATCGTCGGTGGAATACAATGCGGAATCAATAAGCTTGGATGGGGTTACTCTGCTGAAGGTAGCTTGTCTCCTTCCACAATTTTATTGCCTGAAAATTTCCAGCCTTGAACTTCTGATAGTTTCATGGCTGAGTTAGATTTATTTTAGTTTCATGGATTAATTTGTTTATGTAACAACTGAAGTAGTGCTTGTTCCATTCTTAGGGAAGGGTCAATACGCAAGAAGTTTTTGGCTTATCCAACTCTGATTTAGTGCCAGGGAAATATGAAGGTGGTGATATATTTTTCTGTGCATTTTTCATATAATTTGTTTGGTGCATAAGAGATTTTCTTCCCCAAACTCTTGGAATCCTAACTTTTTGGATATAATAGGGACTTATTTGTGCAACGTTTTATCACCCCCCCCCCCCCAAAAAAAAAAGGAAGCCATGAACACCATGTTTGATACTGGGCTGTTAAACTTTTTGTTTATGTCAAATTGAATATCTTCATAAATTGGTTTCGGAATACTTGAGACATGAGGATACCAGTACCCAAGGATTAATTGCCTCCGGAATGTCTTTTTGTTTCTGTTACCACTTATTTCTTTTGGTTCTAATTTAACATTTCCTTATTAAAAAACTGACCAAATGTTTTAAATTTGGAGTCTAGGTGGGCTAAAGCTGTGGGAAGGTTCACTAGATCTAATTAAAGCCCTTAATTCAGACATCAGAAGTGGGCATATTTCATTTTCCAAAAAGCGAGTTTTAGAGGTCAGTTCTTAGTTTTAGGTGACTCTGTAGTGTCTAAGATATAACTGTGGTTGTTTGCTCTGGAAAAGAGGAAAAACATCAAGTACTTATGCTTGTTATTGCTTTTCTGTTTGAAAGTATACTTTCCCGTATTCTTTACTGACTATTACCCCGTATATTAGTCTTGCATTGGTGGGCAGTTGTACTATTACCTCTTATCATCTGTTCCTGTATGTTTAGTTGGATGAACTTAAATATATGAGAGCTTTCATGTGTTATGTGCAGAGAAATTGGATATGTTTGTCACCATTATAAGCTTCTTAGTCATAAGTTCACTGTTTTCTTTTGGTTTCTATGTTTGGCACTTGGATGGACATCCTGTCCTCCTCTCCTTGTATTTTTCTTCCTTCTCTTCTGAGAGTTTATGCAAGAGGTGTAAAATATAAGCTTCCATAATGTATAATGACATTCTGTTGAGTACTTTTGTGTGATTGGCTGGTGGTATCGACTTTGTGCCGTGTGATCCCTGTGCTCTCGTCTTTCTATCAGGAAGTTTTCTTATATACATGCTTGTTAATTGTTAATGCTATGTCTGCTTGAGAGATTTGATGGCAAAAGGTAATGCTGGCAAGAGTTAAGTGTTTTTATTTTCATGGCGGGGCTGCAATTTTGCCCTTGAACATGCACCGCACGGGTGCAATTGATAGTGTGTGTGCATGTATTTTTCTCTCTTGGGAGGTTGTTGGTATTGAGCTTTTGTTCCCAACATACAAGGAGAGCTCATGCATGAAGTGGGTCCCTGTCACCATGCACGAATTTTGCTTATCAGTAACTGCTCAGTGTATGCTGGTCTTATAAGTCTTCTCCACTTCTTTATAATTTATGTACTATGTGATTTTTACGGCTATTAGTTGTAAAGTAAGGGAAAATTTAATTTTAAGGGATCCTTGCATTTACTGAGGAGAGACTGAGTTTGACTACTTTGTTTTATCTGATAATATGATAGAGGCAAAGAGTTTAGTAAATCAATCTTTGAGAACTAATGGAAAAATTACAGCCATAATCTTTATCAATAATTGAAAATATTAACCATTCCGGATGTCACTAGCAGTCAGTGCAGTAAAATCTTTTGAAGAGAGATAGGGTTTGAGATTGCATTTCTTACTTTTTCCATGCTCAAGCATTAAAAGGTACTGGTTCTTTTTCTTTGTTCCGCATGGTTCTTCTTCATTATTATATCATATTATGAACATTGAGTTTTCAAATGCAAGTAATCACTTTTCTTGATATTTTCCTGTACCACAATTTTTTTTTTAAGGTTATAAGTACTGCACTTTATTTGTTGTTTGTTTGTTAAATAAGCTATGCCGAAAGTTGTGCTAAGGAAGTAATCTCAATATATTTGACTTTTCAGCTTGGATGTGGTCATGGACTTCCTGGAATCTTTACATTGCTTGAGGTAAAACTTGGGTCTTTGTCTTTGCTTTGTGGTTTTTTTTAGTGAACGCGTCACAACTTTCGGTAATTCTTTACATTGCTTGAGGTAATTCTTTTCTATCTTGTAGCTTCGGATCCTGGGTCAAGCTAAAGATCACAACTTTTGTTACCCATCCTGTATATTTTCCTTTCTTAGTTTAACATAGTGAAATTTTATATACAATTCGTATAGAAATTACTGTACAATTTCTATATATCTCATAAAATGGGTATTTTTTAAATTATTTTTTTATCATCCCCCTGCACTTGATGCACAGTGTGAAATCTATTTCATAATTATGTCTTCTCTTGTTGCTTTAGGGGGCAGCTGTTGTACATTTTCAGGATTTCAATGCTGAGGTACTACGTTGTCTCACCATTCCGAATGTAAACACAAATAAATTTGGGAAACATCCATCATCTTCAAACATGGCCATAAGTGACAAGGCAGAAATTCGCTTTTTCTCTGGGGACTGGAGTGAAATTGATAAACTGCTCCCTCTTGTTGATAACAATGCAAAGGATGGTCCTGGTTATGACTTTATTCTAATGGCAGAGACAGTTTACTCAATCAGCAGTCTCCAGACCCTCTATAATCTTGTTAAGAAGGTGCTATTTTAATCTGTTACACGAAAGAATAGTATTTCATTGTGTGCTATCTCTTATTCACTCTAGCCTCCCCAAGTGATTCCATCCAATTATGGACTGAGGCTCTTTATTTTTATCTCAGAAGCCCTCGGCTTTTTTGGGCATTATGTGCAATACGCTATTGTTGAGCCAAAGCTTGCTTTGATATTTTATCTTGTTCAACTGAGGTATTTGATTTACTTACCATGCGTAATGTACCAATATATTGTTGCATATCACGTGGTACAATACATGAAAATTTCAGAAAATGATACAATCTATGGCTTGCAATACCGACAACTCAGGAGGGTCTACTTGCCTGTCTGGATACTTTTCTTAAAACATATTTTTGCTTATCAATTGAAGTGTTCAATACAGTGTCTGCGCCATCCTGATGGAGTTGCTTACATGGCTGCAAAGAAGTATTATTTTGGAGTAGGTGGTGGAAGTCGACGATTCTTATCTGTGGTTGAAAAAGATGGTAAGCTAGTCATGACATTTGGTTACAAATTTTGACTGGCTAATTAATGGCAATATATATGTTGTGTTCAACGTTTTGTACCCTGTGCCTAAGATGAAATTAAAAAACTGCTATAGTTGCAGTTATGCAGTTTACCTTGCCTTTTTTCTAACTGGTTATTTGTTATGTCCTTCTGTTGCATAAAAGGAGGTAATTTGGTGATGTTTCAAGCTTTTAATATGCCACCCCTTCTTGTTGGTGAAACAATACCGAGTTTTTGATACCTTGGCTTTCCATTATAACATACACAGGAAGTCTTGTCTTCTCCTTATCTTTTAATTATGGAGCCATGTATCTCGTCCGGAGTTAAGACAAAAATCTGGTTTCATGTCTTTTACATGTCTGACTAAGAAAGGTGCTGAGTCTTCCACATGGGGTACTCGTTTGGTGTACACAATATAAAAGAAAAAGAACAAAAACTAATTTGGAAGGTAGAAATAACTCTAGCACCTTTTTTTGACAAAAATATAGAGAAGTAAAACATTGACTGATCATTGCGAGAATATAGCTGACAGAGATATTGCTGGAGGATATTAGGGAATAAGTTACAAGTCTCTTCTGTAAATGATGGAAGAGGAAATTACGGAAAAAACTGATTCCCTATTACAGTGATAAAATGGACAGAAAATGAAGGAAAACATACCAAACAGTAAGCACTTCCCTGACTATTGATCATGTCTCTCTTCAGCCAGACATGCCAATCCCTTGCTCATTCTCTTGCGTGCAACCCTTGATAACGTGTTGCTGGTATGGTGGACCATTCTGTTGGCTTTATTGCTCTCATCCTCTTTATGCGTTGCATAACAAAAGAAAATAACTTGTATCTTTCTGCTGTTGCCACCAGAAGGAATCGGTTTCTTTGTCTTTCTTTTTACCAATTATACTGATTTTCATTTGCCTTTTGCCTCTATAGGGGTCATGAACAGTACTCTCGTTGCTGAAATCACAGATGGTGCATCGAATGTGCGTGAAGTATGGAAGCTTTCATTCAAGTAGTACTGTGTGTTTGTTTGCTTCCTGCCCAATCCAAAGCTTGTTTTTCTCTCAAATGGATGTCTCCACGATGAAAATGAGATGGCTTGGGCAACAAGTTGCCTCGATGAAGCGCGGATATTTCAAAAATAGAATCATACTGTATCCTACTCTAGACTTGCTGTCAAATATTTCATGTGACATAGTGCATCAAGTTCCGTGGAAACATTTTATCTTGTCACCTTTTGGTGTTCATATGATACAGTTGTGTCTTGTATCTGTGCCAATGTTGGTGCTTTTTAGGTTCGTTCCATTTTATCCATTTTGAGTGAGTATTATTGGACACGTTTCGCCAGCGTGATGGAGATTGTATCATCTAGCAAATATTCTCGTGTCGTGCTATACTTTTGCATTAAGATTTTCCCCCACTAACTTAGAAGGCTTTCCGTACATATACTCTTTTTAGAACAGTACAATGGCTTCTTGATGGACAAGTTTGAAGAATTGCTTTAGTGCCTATTTAGATTAGTGGTGGAAAAAGTAATTTTATTGTCAGTTTGATTTTTGAAAAAGTTAGATTGAGTAAAGTGATTTACGTTGAGAGTGACTTTTATAAAGGAGTTATTTTGTAAAAGTAAAAGTTGTTTAGATTGTGATTAAATAAGTAAATTTAGTTTATAAAATTATCAAAATGGGTTACAAAAATTGGAATTAATCAGAGGCCATTGTGAAAAATAACCATACATCCCCTACGGCCGTACCTTTCTGCAACACTAAGGGTGGAAACAGGACAGGCAGGGGCTTACGGCTTAATCTGTTTTCCAAAAGAGACAGGCTCAGGCCTGTTTAAGTTAATAGGCTGGGCTTAGGCCCTTTGAAAGGCCTGTTAAGCCTGTTAGGCCGGCCTGAACCTGTTAGAAATTTATAATTATAATATATAAAAAAAAATTAGTTAATGGTATTGTTAATGTGTTCTTTTAATTTATTTTTAATTTTAATATATAGTTAATAGCTTAGTTCTTCTCTAGATTTTGAAGTTTAGTTGACAAGTAAAGATAAAAATATAATTTAAAATAAAAATATCAATGAATAATATGATCTTTAAATCTTAAAAATATAAATAAAATAGGAAAGAAAATTTTTGTTCCAAGAATGATAGATTAATTAACTTATGTATTATATTAATTAAATTATGAGACTATTTATTCATTGTAAAATTAATAGTTTTTTCTCTTTATTTATTTGTCTTAATTTTTTTTGTACTTAAACATAGTTTTGTCTCAAATTTTAACATACAATTAGAACTAGTTTTTAATAATATCCTTATAAATTGTAATTAAGATTTAAATCAGTACCTATGATACTAAAATTTAAATAAAAGACAAGACTAAAAAATTAATTATTATGTATGCTTTTTTTTATTTTAGCTTTTTTCTAAAAAAATTATTGTAATTTGAATTTTTTAAAAATACAGTATTTAAACAGGCTTCAGGCTAGGCCAGGCCTTTATACAAGTCAGGCTCAAGCTGAAAGATAAGCCCGTAACAGGCTACAGGCCAGGCTCAGGCCTATAGGTTACAAAATAGGCTTGGCCTGTTAAGAGTAAAGCCTGACTTGGCCTGGCCTGTTTCTACCCTTATGCAACACCTATTAAATTTTCTCTTTCACACATTTCTTAAACGTCTTATAGGCATTTAAAATTAACTCATAAATTACCAACCATATGTAATCAAGTTTTACAAAATTTTCTCAATTGAAGCTCTAAACAAAATTCAACTCATGACCACAACAAAACAGCATTAGCCAAAAATACTTCATCCCCTCTCCTACTTTCATGCATAACAATTGAAATAGGAAAAAGAATTGAGCATACCCGTGGCCACAACACACCAACACAACAAAGGAAAAGAGAGAGCTTTTTTACCAAAATGCGATAAACAGTAAAACTATATGCCAAAATCCTGCACTTTTAAAACTATTTACCAATATGCTGCACTTAAAATCATTCTTGACAAAAACGACTTTCAAATTACACATAAGTCGTTTTTGGCATGAACGATTTCAGAAGTCGTTCTTGGCATGAACGATTTCAGAAGCCGTTCTTGGTATGAACGATTTCACTTTTAATGTTTTTTTAAATCAAAAAGTGAAACATTCTTGGCGTGAATGATTTCTGAAATTGTTCACGCCAAGAATGACTTCACTTTCTGCCACACATGCAAAAATAAGAATCCCCGACGATGCTCCTGTGAGGCTACAACATATATAGTAAATATTACTTCACCTGACTTATATTGGATTAAAATTTGAAAATCCCAGTTTTTTAGTTTTTTTTTTTCAAATAGAGCTTGATGAAATTTTCTATCATTTCCTCTTCTTTTTATCTTTCTCATACCAAACAGTACGTAACAAAAAAAGTTATGTTTTGATTGTAAATTTTTAATTGTAGCAATTAAGTTGTAATACTAAATTATTATTATTATCATTTTGATCACAAGCATAAAAGGCCCATGCCCAATACTTGATTTCTTGTCAAACCGAATAAATGCCACATGACAGGCTTTTTTACCAAAATACTACAAGCAGTAAAATTATATATCAATATGCTGCACTTTTAAAAGTATTTACTAATATGTTACACTTAAAATCGTTCTTCAGGTGAATAATTTTTAGTCATTTATTTGGTGAATGACTTCTTCATAATCTGTCCTCGATGTGCATGAGGTGAATGAAAATCGTTCTTCTGGTGAACAACTTCAAAACTTCATCTACTGTTGAATGACTTTCCCATTCTTTCCTGATTAAAATGATTAGTATAATGATTTATCAATCATTTGAATGACAAAATCATGACTAAATAATGAGAGAAAAATGTTATAATGATGTTAAAACTAATTGTCAAATATGTATAAAATGTATATTAATTAAAAATAAAAAGTAATAAATAAAGTTTAAGTTTATGAAGAAAAAATTATACACCTTACTAATAGTGACTTCCAATACTACATCTTGACCTTCTTCTCATACATTGTGGGCGTTGTTGTTGTATATCAATTTCTTGAGATTCAAATGTCTCATTTGTTTTTTGTAGTTGGTGTGTTCAAATCAAACCAAGGTGATTCATTTAAATATATAGATTGTCGAGGAGTGACAAATGCTTTATTTGATGGTACACCATGTTCAAAATTAGAAGCATTGTATTTAGCTAAAAATAATGCAGGATTATCTAATAAAGTCATGAATAGTTGAAATTGAGAAGGATTGGCTGAGTTGGAAGGGGATGATGATGAGGGTGCCATGTAATGAGACTCAAGTTATGTAGGATCGACAGAGGTGAAGGGGGATGATGGTGACGGTGATATGTCAGAAGCGTAAGTAAAAATTAGAGGTTCCTGTTCCCTTGCATTTTCATTTTCAATTATAGGTTGGGTAGACAAGTATTTTTTTAATATTAAAATTCTTTCTTGTAATATTATTTTAGTAATAACATATTATGAAGATTTTTTTTATTTTACGCATACACATATTATTTATATCTTATAAGACCTATTTATTATTTCATTATTTTTGTAAAATTTAATTTAATAAATATTAATTTATTGCATGAAATTAAACATTTAATTGGGCTAAAGTCTTTTAGACCATTGGGTTGAAATGAAGGGTTCAAAAATAAAGATTTTTTCTCTAGTTTATCCCATTCATTAAAAATTATTTACTTTGATTTCTTTTAAATTGTAAAAATATATTTCAAATTCTTAGTTTTTATTTATCATAGAATTTAAATAATATAAGTTTAAAAGATTTTATAAGTTATTTCAATTTATAATTCAAAACTTTTAAACACTTCTTTATTACAAAGATTTATAAACATAATTAGTTAAATATATATTTATTATAAAAAATTAGTTAAAATTTTAATCAAATATTTTATGTTTGCCTTAACTGATTGAAATTAATGTAACTATAAAAATATAATTTAGGACTGTATTAGAATTAGAAGTAAAATAGTAAATAAATTTTATTTTAATATAAATTTGAGTTAAAAATAATATTTTTAGAATCTTTTTAGAATACTCCTATTAATAGTGTTAATTAGTTAGACTAAACTGTATGTTTTTAAAACAAAAGAAAGATCTATGTAATTGATGCAAACTAGAAGGATGATCAGAGTATTTTATTCTTGATTCAAAACACTTATATCATGACATGTCATCATCAATTAAAAAATACAACATAACAAATAGCATGGAAAAGGAAAAATGAAAAAAAAAGAAATTATGAGTGCTCTTCATTCATTTTAATTTTTCATTACTTACACCTTATTTTTACCTAAAAAATATATGAAAGCAATAGTTCATTAGAAGTGGGTAGAACACTTTTTTTTTTTAATTTACCAACTTAATATATACCACATATTTGATATTTAGGGCATATATATAATTATTTTTCAGTTTTATCTTACCAAATTTAAACTTCTCGAAAAGTATACTTTCATAAGAAAAAATAATAATCATATACCAAGAAAAAATAAAGCTTATATCAAAATTTTAACATCTTAAAACAATATAACAGATGATAGTTTTACTGTTAAAATAAGAGGCACTTAGTTTAGAAAGAGTACAAATATTCCAGATTGTTAAACCCACCACTCACTTCCTGAAAATTAGAACAATGAAATATTAACTCATCAAGGGTAGTATGGATGAAAAATCAAATTGTATATCACAACTGTAAATTTTTGAAAAGAAAAAATATAAGAGAAACAACATACCCACAGCAGTAGTAAAAGAGTTTGTTTGTTTGGAAACAAGAGTGAAAAAATAACAGTACAGGAGAATAATAAAAATGAAACAACAAGTGAGAAGAAGAAGAAAAGAGAGAATAATGAAAAAGAAGAAGAAGAAGAAAAAGTGAAGAGCAATAAAGCGCAAGGCGTGAAGAGAAGGAATTCACATATAATATATATAAAAGTATAAAACCATAGATGCTGTAGCCTCACGGGGTTCTCGCATGTGTTGTTAGAGATGCTTATAGAGCACACATAATTGGTTGGTCTTGCATGTATAATTGGTTGGTTTTGCATGCATAATTGGCAGAAATTCAGACACATAGGGCGTGAATAGGAAAAAATGAAATCGTTTACGTCAAGAATGATTTCACTTTTTGATTTAAAAAAAATTAAAACGTAAAATCGTTCACGCCCAGAACGATTTCTGAAATCGTTCATGCCAAGAACGACTTGTGTGTAATTTGAAAATTGTTCTTGCAAAGAATGATTTTAAGTGCAACATATTGGTAAATAGTTTCCAAAGTGCAGCAATTTGATATATAGTTTTACTGTTTATCATATTTTGGTTAAAAAGCCAACAGCTTGACTGAACCAAACCTATTCCCTTAATATGACTTTTACACAAATAATTTTTTTTCAATATAGCTTTTATAGAAGATTAGGTAAAAGTTAGATAGTGTAATATGATTTATGTTTAGATTGAATATTGTGAACAAATCAGTTTGAGCAATTGAAACTTGTTTGAATGATTAATAAAAAAGTAACTTTAGATGCAAAATGACTTAAAAGGATATGATTTTTATTAGGTAATACATATATGATATTATATGTATATAATGTGACTATTTTAAAAGAAGTATTGAAAATAAAATTATTAAAAATAAAGGAATTTAATTTATTATTAGGAAGAAATTGAAAAATACTAAAATACTTAATTAAATATATTTGATGGATATATATATAAATTAGAAATCATACAAATGCAATGACTCCCGCACAAGACAGCAGGAGCATGGTGGGGAGACGGCAGAAGACACTGGAGATAAAGGTCGATGGCCTCTGTTCTTTTCTTTCGATTTTTTAGCCACAAATGAGAGAAAATATGCACGCAAGAGAGGGTCAAGGTGGGTAAAAAATTTAAAATACAATTAATACTCCTAACAGTATTATCCATCGCACTGCCCACCTCAAAAAAAGCAAGACGGATCAACTTATTCCAAGAGTCTATTTGAAGCAAAAAGGTCATATTGCCAAAACGTGGGACCAAACACTCTTTCTTGCAGCCCCAGCTTTTCCATTCGGGGTATATGTTTAAGCCCCCAAATGGCATCCCCAACACACCCTAATGTGTATTAAGCTCTCTCAAAATATCATTCAGATGGAGATTAACATACAATATAATTATCTAATCATGCGCCTGGTTATGAGTACCTCGCAAACTCAAACTTGTGACCTCCTTGTTTCAAACTAGTTTTATGTGTTCGATAATATTTCGAATAAGACTGTTTTTAATAAGATGATACCCATACGCAACTAAAACATAGTATAAAAAGTAGGTCTGGTCTGCTACTTAAACAGCATGAGAAAAGGTTCATTGCTTTTGAAGAACTAATCAGTTAATTGAACCGTATTTTCTCCTAAGAAAAGACTCTCTTACTTTGCGGGCTTAGAATACAAGTGACTTATAATTAAAAAAAGAGTGATAATATGTAGTTACAGACTTACAAATCATGAATATTTATTATTAAGTGTTAGAGATTAAAAAAAGTTGTTGGTAATGATAAGTTAAGGAAAATTTTATGTAATTGAGTTTCTTTTCTTGCTATTAAACTACATCATGAATGGACTTTCTGAATCGCAGATTCAGTCTATGATTAGTCTTAAACCCCAAATATTGTTCTCAAGTGTGGATAAAACCCTGAAGCCAAAAATTGAGTACTTGCAGCTTCTAGGGTTTCAGGGTTCTGAATTAGGTGAACTTCTCTCAACGAATGCAATTCTTTTAATTTGTGGTCTGAATAATTGTGAATATTCAAGGATATGGGAGGTGGATAATCTCAAACCAACAAAGGGTTTTCAACAATGCGGCTTTCCTCAAGAGTTGTGGGATCGTTGGGTCTCAACTTTCATTTTTACTGACACATAACGCTAGTCTTTTTGTAATAAGAGAGTCCCAGCTTCGAAGCTATGTTTCGTGGGCTGTAAACTTGGGTTTCTCCATAAACTCAGGGATGTTGGTACATGGGCTCCGGACAACTACTAGCATGAGCATTGGCAAATTTGAGAACAAGTTGGAAGTAATTCAGAGCTGTGGATTTTCCAAAGATGAGACCATGCAAATGTTCAGAAGATCTCCAGGATTGCTTAGCAGATCTGAGGAGAGGCTGAAGTTTAAAATTCAAGTGTGCTTGGTTAAAATTATGCTGCCGAAGTCACTACTGGTTAATAGCCCTGTGATTTTGATGTTGAGCATGGAGAAAAGGGTGATTCCTCGATGGAGGGTACGGAAATTGCTAGTCTCAAAAAATTTACTTAACGAGAATCCCAGTTCTCTTCAAGTGCTTCTTTTGCAGGAGAAGAAATTCTTGAAGAAATATATTTCCAAATTTAGAGATAATGAAGAGGCTTTATTGGAGGCTTACAAGGGCCCACCATTTGGAAGATGCTTCTACATAATAGTGATAATTAAGTCTAGTACTATCTCCGTTTCTTAATATAAAAATTTATTTGACTTTTATTTTAGTCCTAAATATAAGACTCAAATCCATTTTTCTCTCATATTTATGTATTTTTTTTAAATAATCCTTCTAACGATGGTAGTTATAACCAATACACTTGATTAGCAAGGATATTTTAGGAAAGACAGCACATATTTGTTACAAATAACTAGCTTAATTTTTTTCTCTAATCTTTTCAAATTATTCAATTAACTCTTATAATTAGGAGCAAAAGTAGTATCTAATAGGAGAATACATGTGCTTAATAAAAAAAAGAAAGAAAGAAAAAGAGAAGTTCTGTTTCATCGGCTTCTTTACTCAAACCTTACGGCGCCTAACCATATGTTTGGATCGAACTGACATTTTTTTAAAAAAAAAAATTTAGATCTAAATGCAACGTTTTTAAGATTTATATGTGACCCGGCAACTCAGTTCAAAAGAAAAATGACTTGCAATATTTCTATAGCATTGCAACACGAAATTGGAAGAAATTAATGATTACGTGTCTCATATTGTAGATATTAAAGCACTCATTTTAATATAATTGCATAATAATTTGAAATTTCCAAAATAATCCTCTCACCCTGAGGACCTTTCATCTCATTCCATTATCTGGCGTGGCCCTGTATGGTAAATATTAGTAACATCATCTAAGCTATAAATGGCTGGGTTTTGGATACAAAGGAACTGTAGAAAAGGGCTGATATTAGAGTAGAGGGAATAATTTAGTAGAAGAGATTAAGTCTAAAAAATGTTTTTTTAATCAAATGAAAAAGGAAGAATTTCATTAGAGGACCAAAAAACCAACATTATTTCCAATCAGGACTAAGAATTAAGAAATTCTAACGTTTCACTGCAGTATTTTAGGGCCAAGATGTTGGGAAAGAAATTTATAAAATAACCTTGGCTAATGAAATAAAAAATAGACTGAAGAAAGAGTAAGTGGGCCAAATCCCCTTGCCATGAAAACTAATGCTGCGATAATCCACATACTTATGTTGTTAATAAATATGTTTAGGTATAAATTTAACCTAAGAGTTTTCATTCAGAAACAATAGGTACTTGAAAGGTTATTTAGATGCAAATTTGCCTATAAAATTTAAAAGTCAACATTACTATTTTAATAGTTAATGTTAGACTTTTAATGATATAGAAAAATACTGCTATGATTTTAAAGCTTTAAGACAAATTTGTACTAAAAAAACTTTCAGATAACTAGTATTCTTGAATAAAAACTTCCTGAACAAATTTGTACCTTAACCCTTAATAAATCTTATTGGTCTAAATAAATTTATCTAATTAGTCGATCACTTATAGGTTGAATTCATTCAAATAGTCATCCAAGCAGCATGACAATGCCGAAGAATCAGAATCTCAAGAATCTACCAGCTAACTGTAATCAAACTGCAACACAACCAATAGCCACTCTGAATCATCAACATAATGCATTATAATCAAGAAAATAATGGCGGTAACAATAAAAAACCCTATCTCACCAAGGGGGATCAGTTGTATGAATCATGCATGAATCACAGTGCGCCAATATGCCCCATCAAAAACCCATTAATTGTAGAGATTTGCGAGCAAAAAAGATGAAACTAGGACAAAAATTGTAAGATACATAGGGCAATATGATCTCCTTCTCTCTTGACAATCATCTAGCTTTCTCTTTCTTAAAAGCTCTAAAATCTCAAAAGAAAGGAGGGAAAAAAAACAAAACAAAACAAAACTCCCAGGCTTTTTGCTCGTTGCACCAAACAAGGTGAAGTAACAATATTGATGTCTCAGTATGACTAACATGGAAGTCTTTACGACATCTAGCAAGTTGTGATAAACGGAGATATCATCCCGACCAACATAAGCAATGTCCAGAGCTCCTTGCACCCCTTGGATATCGACCTTTTTCACTCGCATGGCCTGATTTCCTTATTTATAGGCAAATAAGTCCTACAACACAATTAGAACCAAATGAAATTTCTGCTCAAGAAATACATTTGAAACGCATGCAAATCCAAATTACAGATAATACGCTATAGAATTCACAGATTAGCCACAAAAATCGGGGGATATACAAGCACAACCCAATTGGACAAAAATCCTGCAAGGTGGTATTCAAGAGAAAACATAGAATTGAGCTCTAATCATATCCAAACTTATTTATGGCCTCCTCAAAAGCTGAAGCCGATTTTTGTTTTAAAAGAAAAGATTGCCCTGGCGAATCTAAAATCAAATATTGAAATAAAAGTCTTTTTCATCTTTTGTTTATTTTCTTTTATAATTAGGAAGGAAGGATCATTTGTCCTCTGCTTTCTTAAGTTCTCCCTTCTCATCAAAACTATCAACGCAACAAAATAAATAAATAATGATGATAACAGTGATGGTGATGGTGATGGTGATTTGTCACGCTCTAGGTGGTTATCCTTTTTATTCAGATTTATCCAGTATAATATTAGAGAGGATTGGGATGTTCCGTCCACATAGTTATCAGTGGGCAAGCCTGTCAGCTAACCATATCTCAGACTCTGTTCTAACCATAAGTTTAGCCCACTTCCAGAAATCTAAAAAGCAACCACCCAAGATGATGAACAAGGTGCAAAAGGCAGTAAATGAAAGACAGTCCTTGTCAGTTAAAACAGTATCATTCTGATAATTATATGAAACTCCATTCTCAAACAGAGATCAGGTTTCAAACCTTGGGAGAAAGACAGCAGAAATGCATGGAATTGTTGTCGCAATCCTGAAAGGCCAAGCATTATGGGAAGGGCGAAGCCTCCTATCTTTATTAGCACCTGTAGAGAAACAAGGGACAGTACTTGGGGGGAAGGGGATTACTTGGTTCTTACTTGGTAGGAACCCAGTGTATCTATCTATAGTAAATAAAGTAGGCCAATAGTCAATAAAATACTATAGAAAAACTATTTCAATAGTATCGAATAGTGCAAGTATGATCATGTATTCCACCGCGAAGTAAATCAAATCCCACCAAAGCACAAGCAACAACGGATCTAAACATCATGTAGTCATATCACACTGCATTTCCAAGAAACAAAGGGGAAAAAAAGGGGTTTGAATCTTTGAGTGAAAAGAGGGGGAAAAAATCAACAATAGAATACTAAAAACAAGTGTTGGGCTTTAAGTAAAAAGGGAACTAAACAGAGCATGCACAGCTCTTAGACTAAGAAAACTATCAATCTCATTATACTAACCAATAACATTTAATAAAGGCGAACATTTAAAATGCAAGGAGAGTCAAACTATGATAAAGTAAAATGCACAAAAATCAGTTAATACTCAAACGACAAAGAAACGACAAATTAATAGAATGGAAATATAAGAACCATCCAGCATAAAATAAGCAACGAAACACATTATAAAATATAGATTTTTTCAATAAAGTCAAATAAAAAGGAAAAGAAAATCAAAATAAAGAATGACAATGCAAACATATAGACTAATGGTATTCAATTGGCTCTATTCTCTCTCATACGTGATTATAAGATTCGAAGATGAGAAGAAAATAATAAATCTTCTTAGGGAACTAATTTGAGATAAATAAAATACAATGTCATTTGGGAAAAAAAAAAAATGCAAGACAACTAACCTCCCATTGTGCAAGAGGAATAATTATAGCCTGTATCTTTCATTGGTATAATCCACTTTTTCCAAGAGCTGCAACCAATTGATCGAATAGAACTCAAGCATGGTTTTAATTTCTTTGCCCAGTTTTTCAATTATATATTTGCAACAAAATCCAATCCGCTACCAGTAGTCTAAACAAGAACACTTGCCACCAGTAAAATGGTGAAACCGGTATGCGTCCCTAAGTATAATTTTCCTACTAAGGATTTTGCTAACAAGCTTGAAAACAGAGTGGCAATCACCACAGACACGAAGATTCTTGAATATTCTAATTGGCGAACCTTCTGGACAATTGATCAATCCAAATGCAAGGGCAATTCTCTCACTATGGTTCCAAAGATTATGCTCCTTTTGTTCTTCATCTATATCTTGTAGTGAATAGCTTGTGTCAGGCACAAAACCTGTCTCTTTTAGCAGCTTCATGAGCTCTTCCAACTTCACAATGATTTGTTCATTCTGTGGATGACTCTGGTCTCCCATTCCAAAAGAAGTCACCTTGTTCCTCAACTTGATCCAACTGCAGGCAGGCTTCTTCTTTATATTATGAGTAATCATTTCTTTTCTAACATTCTCTACATCATCCCATCTTCTGGTTGATGCACATACATTAGAATAAAGAACATAGGCTGAATCATCTGAGGAATCCATCCTGAAAAGATTCTCAGCAGCTTTCTTTGCAAGTTCCATATCACCATGTATTTTACAAGAAGCCAACAAGCTACGCCACACAAGGTCATTTGGTGGAACTGGCATTGTGTCAATAAAAGCCTCAGCCTCAGCAAGCCTGCCAGCTCGCCCAAGAAGATCAATTATGCAAACACAATGCTCAATTCCTACTGGAACGCAAAATTCACTAGTCATTGAAGAGTAGTATGCAAGACCCTCTTCCACTAGACCGCCATGACTACAAGCAGATAAAAGTGAGACAAAGGTGACATGATCAGGTCTCAGTCCCAGACTAAGCATGTCGTGAAAAGCTTCCCTAGCCTCTTGGAAAAACCCATGTCTTGCTAATGCTGATATCAATATGTTCCAAGACCTCTGCAACCTGATGCTAGGTAGGGGAACAATTTTTAACACATCATCAATTTCCCCACATTTTCCATACATATCCATTGTAGCATTTGACACATAATGATCTGACTCAAACCCAAGTTTAACAACCAAGGCATGGAGCTGCTGGCCCTCATCCAATACAGCCAAGTTACCTACAATAGCAAGAGATATGGAGAAAGTAAACTGATCTAAACGAAACCCAGCACTCATCATTTTTACAATGAGTTTGAGGGCCTCTTCACCGGGCCCATAATGAGCATTTGCAGCAATAATAGCATTCCAAGCACTAGAGGTCTTACTACCTAACTCATTAAAAATGAAATTACTTGTATCAAGATCGCCACACTTGGCATACATTGTAATGAGGGAACTTTGAACATACGTATCTAATTCATGCCCTGTCACAACAGTATGTGCATGGATAGGGAATCCATGTTTTAAAAGATCATCAGGAGATATGCAAGCACCAAGAACATTGACAATTGTGATGTAATTTGTACGTACACCTTCTTCTCTCATTAACTTAAAAGCTTTCAATGCCTCATTAGGTTGTTCATTATCAGAAAAGCCACCAATCAGTGCATTCCAAGTTACTTCATCTCTCTTGGGCATGGCTTTGCACACCCTTTGTGCATCAGACATCAAATTGCACTTCCCATACATGGTAACCAATGTATTGCCTATGATCAAATTGTGATGTAGACCAAAAAGGATTACAAGAGCATGAACAGTTTTTCCTTCAACTATGTTTGATTGGTTAGAACAAGCGGCCAATGCACTTGTGAAAGTAACATAATTCATTGCCCTTCTAGCCCGGAGCATGTCAATGAAAAGTTGTATAGCTTCTAGGTACATTCCATCCTCAACATAGCCTGACATCATGGAATTCCAAGAGATTAAATCCTTGTCTGGCATTGTATGAAATACAAGCTCTGCATCCTCAGATTTTCCAGCAACAGAATACATAGTTAAGAGACTATTACATACACAAACATTTGATTCTAGTCCAGATTTTACAAGAAGACTATGAAGTCCTCTTCCCCAACTCAATTTTTGAGCCGACCCACACACTGATAATAAGGCCGAAATTGTAATATAGTTTGTTTCTGTATCAGTATTACGCATCAAAGAAAAGTTTCGAAGAGATTCTTCACAATGACCATTGTGCGCAGCTGCAGTAATGATTGAATTCCAAGAGATGGTGTCACGTTCCTTCATGTCATTAAACACAGAAGATGCCTCCTCCATGCTACTACAGCTACCAAACATGGATATGAGGGAATTCACCACAGAAACATTACTGTCTAGTCCAGATTTAATCACATTTCCCAAGATTTGATAGCCCAAAAGTCTATCCCCAAGCATCCCACAAGAACTAAAAACTGTAGCAATTGTATTTTGATTACAATAAAACCCATTGCGTCTCAGATGCTGATAAATATTTATAACCTCCTCCTGATCACCATTATCTGCATAAGTCACCATCAAAGAAGTCCAAGACACTATATTTGGTTCAATAATCTCCTCAAAGGTCTTGCTGGCCTCACAAACCCAACCATATGAACCATAAAAGTGCAGAAGACAAGTGCCTACGAACACGTCAGAGAACAAACCATATTTGACAACATAACCATGAATTTGAAGTGCTTCTTTGATCATACAGCCTGACCTATCACATGCAGTCAATAAACTAGCAATTACAAAACTGCTCGGCTTGGCATCCCTTTCAAGCATATGATAGAAAAAAGGCATCGCTTCAAAGTACCAACCACATCGAACTAACCCTGACATCATGTTATTCCAAGAAGCTTCATTTCTCTCCAGCATTCTGTCAAACACATATTGTGCATACTTTATGTCACCAAACTTAGAGTACATGTTAATCAAGGTATTTTCATAGAATGTGCTGAGCTGAACAACATCTTTTATACATAATGCATGTAGTGCTTTACCAGCAATTCCTTCAGTAATTTCTGAAAAACCCTTTTGAAGAAAACATGAAATCTGGGGGCTAGGGTGGTTTGAGAGGGACCAGTGGGCCCCATAGCTCAAGGTTTCTGTGATGCATGTGATAGTATTAGAAGGTGACTTCAACTGGTTTTGGCAAGTGTAAGCACGCAACTGTACAGAATGTGCTGCAAGAAGAAACTTTCTGCCAAACCTAGCCAGCTCTGGCTGACTTACTCAGCCCTGGATAATAGCAGTACAATAGCAAATTCTCACGAAGAACTGAGAATGGCTTGCCATCAACATCTTGATTGTCTTTTATTCTCAATTATTAACCTGGCAAGCAAGACATGATATATGTCATCATGATATATTTCCAGCCAACAACTGATTTTTGGGGGAAGGGGGGAGTGTAAACAAAACCAACAGTCATAATAGAAAGTAATAGCAGATATTATAGGCGTATTAAGTTTTTAATCCTACAATAGATCCAAAGGCTTCAGCATATATGAACATTACCCAAGCCTATTCTAGGGACTTTTTTTTATTGGCCAATATGCCCGGTCTCCTTGGTCAAAAGACTAGTTTCTGTATAATTATACACCATATAAAAGGTGGAAAAAAAATTTCTATGATTCTTTAAAATCCATCTAATTACCAGTTACCCTCTCTTACACGCTATCCATGCCATGTACATCCGAAAAAAACAGATGATTAAATATATAAAAATAGTTGGAGGGCAGTGAAACCGTGTTCAATACTTCATTGCGGGAACCATGAGATTGGAAATGCAATAATTATTTCAATAATGAGAGTTAAATTACCTGGAACCTTGTCCAACCTCCTTCAATGATCACGGAGTATTTATCGCCCAAATAAAGTTCGATACTTTGGTAAACGTCCCTAAATTCTACCATAATCATTATATGCCCTTTTGCCATATTAGGATAGAAGAAATGAAAAAAAACAAAAAAAACAAAAAAAACCATTCAGGTAGAATTTATTAGAACACCGAAATGGTAATGGTCACCTGAGTATTGAGCTCCAAAAACAAAGTGTACGGTGTCCCCAGACACAAAGTATAGATTATCAAAGAGACGAAAGTCTCCAATTAAAATTAATGAACGATGGCATGTGAGCTTGGCTGAACCGCCGAAACCGCCGTATATTGTGCAGACTCGGTTGCCAATTCCGGTCTCAAGCTTCCCACTCGAATCAAAATCAATATAAAGGCATCTGGTGGAGGAGGAGGAGGACAGAGGGCCTGCGAGCAGCTTTCAATCAGATTACTACATAAATTTCAGCTCTAGAAAAAGGGACGAATATGTAAAGAGGTTCAACTCAGCTGACGGAGGGAAGCAGAGGCGTGGGGTTTTTACTTTTAAATAAATCAATGCTAATGGTTTTAAGGAGGGGTTTCCTTTTGGTTTCGTTGTTCGATTCATTTTCCTTGTTACTGAAAAAAGAGGCATTTTACCATGGCAACTACCGCCATTGGGTTGGGTTAAGCTCCACGAGCTCTACCAATAAGAAATCGGGCTGTGGGGGAGTTTTGTTGGTAAATGGATTGCTGGATTTACTCATTTTATTGGCTTATGAAGCGGAGGAGTGGGCCATTTTAAAGGGGCTTGTGCCTTGCCAGCTTGGGATCTTGGATTTAAGATGATTTTTCTTGAATCTGATTCAAAGAACTTGGTGGATTTATTATCCAGAAATTGCACTAACAAGGAAGCAAAGCAAGTCTAGTCTTCGTGCAGATTCTGAAGTTGTTGAATTATTCATTGGAAGTGCCTTTACCGCACATATCTCGTGAACAGAACCAGTTGGCAGATGCTTTAGCAAAGGATGGTCTTTCATGCTCCTCAATATTGGACTCTTGCCCGCTGCAATTGAGAGCTTTGTTACCCAAGAGTATGTGGAATTTGATTCCCCAGAGTTTTTAATTTTGTGCTTGGGCTTTGCCCTCTTTTGTACCAAAAAAGAGGGGAATTTTTTTTGACAAATAGGAAATAAGAATCTCATGACAAAAAAATATTAACGGAAAAGGATATAGAATTCTCCCAAAAAAAAAAAGAGGGGGAAAAAAGATAAAATGTAAAAATTAAATGTAAAATATGAAAGATCAAATTTAAATATTTTGATAAAGTAAGCAGAATTTCATTAAAGGACCACAAAACCAACATTATCTTCAATCAGGGTCAAAGGCTGGTCAGAAAAAATCAGGGTCAAGGAATTTCAGTAGTTCACTCAAGTATTTGGGACCCAAAATGAAATTAAATTATAAGAAATTACTAAAAAGTACCTGTTGAATTTAATTTTAAAATAACAGATAGGTAATTTTGATATATTTATATATGCCAAAACATTACAAGAATAGACAACATCACTTATTTGTTATTTTAAAATTCAACAAGCATTTTTTGTCATTTTCACATGAAATTAAGGTTTAAGGTTAATTGACAAAAATAACCTTGACTAATGAAAGCAGAAATAGACAAAAGAAAGAGTAAGCCAATGCGTGCCAACTTCACTTATCATGCACTCTGCCATTCCTCCATCTTCACAAGGTGGAAAGCAATGTCATTGCTCATGAATCTCCTCCTGCTATGGTTCCAGTTTCCCATTTATGGTATGTGGAAATGGGTAGGGAACGAATGAGTTATTTCAGTGTGCATAGTATGGCACGTATTTGGTTTACAATCTAAAGGAATAGGTAAATGTGTTGAACATTAATTAATGGCATAAAAGTATGTAGTCAAGAAAAAAGTATTATTTGTATTGTGAAAACACTAATGTTTTATTATAAAAGTAGTAACTGTAGTTGTAAATTTATATTTTATTCAAGTGTCCGTAAGTAATTGAAATTTATATTTTAGTGAAGTGCGGAAACACATGAAGTTTTAAAAAGCAGTTATTTTGCATCTTTTAAAAGAATTTGTGAATACTTTAAAAGAGAAAATGATATATGAGGGTGAGATTGTAAGTGGAAGATTAACAACCAAAAAAATAATAATAAAGGAAGAACTAAAAACCTGTTTGGTGGGCAGGACTGAATTTTGAGGGATTAGGGAACAAGAATGGGATTGAGAATTGGAGTGAGACTTTTTTTTTTTAAACAGCACCAAGCCTATGTTTGGCAACCCTTAAAAGTATTTTTAAGAAATACTTTTTTGCAAAACGAGACAAACTCCTCTACATATTTATTTCTTAAATTATAAAAACATTTTAAAACCATGATTTGGTTTCTATCCAAACATCCCATTAGATTGTAAGGACATAAATAGAAGACGATCAACTAAGACAAAATAACTATGAAATCCGCCTACTAAGTTACAAAAATTCTGATTGACAACATGATCCTCTTTGGGTAGAGCTTTGAAAGGTCAAAAATGCTGCTGAGATTTGAGCACTATCATGAGAGAACCCGAGCGTTCAACAAGGATAGAAGAATCCTGCAAAGAGCATCTTGAATAGTAATTCCTTGGGCAGGCCCAAAAAAATAAAATAATAATAACGGAATGGTAATTCCTTTGGAGGGCACAATAGGAAGAATTCGACAATATTGCCCAAAAGAAGTTCCTCCATGACATGCCACGCCTAGGCCTGCAAAAATCATTATGCCGTAATAATAACCAGCCAGTGTTACAGGGAGAAAATTGAAGGCAGAATATCTGTTGAAACCACAGCTCCTGCACATTCCTTCCCAAACTGCTCTTGTATTGGTACAGGGTGTTGCTACCTACGAAATCTGTTCCAAAACATAAATCTAGGCAAAGATTTCTCGGGCAGAACTGTGACTTAGCAGTCCTTGCTTCCCAGATGATGTGAATCACTAAAAGGAAAAAGTGCCTTTTGAGTAAGATTCAGCTTAGTACTATCCTTAATATTAATCTGAGATAACCATTTTAACCAGCAAATCAGTCCACATTGTCATATGTCATCAATGCGAATGTTAAGAGGAGAAGCAAACCAGGAAGCTTTCTACCATTCTAATATTTGAAGGGAATGCTTGTATTAAGGGAAGATTGCAATAAGATCCCATTCAAAAGAATTAAATACCAAAAAGTCCCTCAAAATGATTAAATTAATCAAAAGTCCTAAGGAACTTTATTACAAGAGATTCTACTTGTTTAATTACTAAATTATTTTTTTAAAGTATGCATTGATAATTGAAAGAGCAATCATTAAGAATTTAAGAGGTAATAATTAGCAACTATCATGATAAGTATTGACAACTCATGCATTATATTTTTGTGATGCGTTGAGAAAATGCATTATGAATATCTATTATGATAGTTGTTAACTGTTATGTCTTAAGTTATTAACTACGGCTTCTTTTCCAGTTGTCAATACATATTAAAAAAAAGATAAGGGCAATTTAATAATTAAAAAATTGAAATCTCTTGCAATGAAATCCCTTGAAACTTGAGATTAATTTGATAATTTCAAGAGATTTTTTTATATTTGATTCTCTTGGATGGAACCCTATTACAATTTTTCCTCATATTAATTTTATTTTAAACTTCAGCTGCTCCCACTCTCACCTGCTCTTCAGTCGTTTGCCCGCCATCATCTTTATTATCCTCCCTTGTCATCTCTGTCAATGAAAATTAGCATAAATATTTCCACATTTGTCTTCAATGGAGGAGTAAAAGAAGGGTGATTTGGCTCGGAAAGCTTCAATTTCAGGGTTAAATTTCCGATACCACCTCTTTCCCGGTTTTGCGCAATCACTCTTCATGGCAATTACCAGTCCCAAGGGGCGAGCATCCCCACTATCAAACACTTTAACGCCGTGTTTGGCATGGAATTTTTAGAAGGGGAGGAGATTTTGGTTGGTACATTTTTTAAGGACAACTCCCTTTCCCCTTGTTTAGTTGGTATATTTTTTAAAGAGGGGAAGGGCTCTCATCCCCTTCTTTTCTCTTCTAGCCTCACCTCTAAAAGTGGGATTGTTTTGGAAAAGAGATGAGAGATAAAATTTTATATTTCAAAATTAATCTAAATAAAATATTTTTATTCCTTTCTTATTCTTTTGATTTTTAATGTGGATGATATATTTGCCTGTGCATCTTTTTTCACATGGATCCTTTTGTTTTGAAAATGCGGATGTTTACTTTAATTGCAATTTATATTGGTAGAGAAATTCAATCTATTTTTTTAATTTGTTTTTTTTAAGAAGGTTGGTATAATTAAAAAATTATAATTGTTGTTATTTTGAACAAAACTAGTATATAATTTGTGATTTAAATTTTTATGCAAGTTAAATAATTTTTTATTAAATTTGGTGGATTGCATTATACACATTTATATTTTGATAGAATAAAAAAGTGAGAAAATCCATTTTAATTATATAAGGTTAAAATAGTGAATTTTTGATTAACTCTCATCCCCTTGTCTTCTAAACCAAACATGGTATTACTAAATTTCCTCATCTCTCTTCTTTTTTATTAAAATCCCTCCCCCTCACTTCCCCCTCCATACCCTCCCCTTTCTAACTATACTCTCATTTCTTCCCTTCATTAAAATCTCTCTCCTCTCCTCTCCTCCCCTCCCCTCTGTCGAGCCAAACAGTGTAAGAAAATTTTTCGAATCCCAATTTCTCAATATTTCCTATCAAAGAGGGCCTAACAAGTTTGGTAGCAATGAAGTTGTCGCCTAAATGTAGCGGGTTGCCAGTTTTTACATGAAGTACACTTCCATTTTTCCTAAACCAACTTGTCATTTTCTAAACTCCTAATTGTGAATGCAAGATGGATCATTTGCTTGCACGTTCAAACAGAAGCTCACTCGCTGCTCCTAGATGGGATTTCGAAATGGGAAACTTAAACATACCTTCTCTCATAGAAAGTGGGACAACATTGTTATGGCTACAAAATGTGCAAAGACCATCCAGTTTACAAAGCATAGATGTAGAAATTTTTGCCAACACCAATGCCAAATAGTAATTCTTCAAAGTGGAAGGATTTGTTTGTGTGGACTTTTCAGACATTTCCTCATGATGATCTGCTCATTGACATGGATATTCCTGAGGAAGTTTTGATGAACTGTTTCTTAGGAGGATTGTGTACTGATCTCCAAGCTTGCGTAGCTGCCTTTTGACCAACAAGTCTAGCTAGCATGATGCAGATGGCCCATATGCAAGAACGTTCCCTCCAAGCAATGTATGATACTGCTGCCAGTTCACGAAGACTCATCAGCCTTCTAAGACTCCATTGCCCTCTAGTAATTTTAGGGGTTGATCATCATTTTACCAGGCGGCAAAATCTTCTTCTACATAAAACCTTCCTTCTTCCACTTCTTCGTCTTCTGCACCTGTCAAGAA